CAAATAGGCTTTAAACGTTGGTTCAACGTGTAATGTCGTTCTTGAATTTTTAATCTGTGCAATCCTGAATTTTGATCTAATATGTAATGTAATCCCTAGACTTATTTCTTTTAAATTTTGTGCCCTAAACTATTGATAAACGTTAGAAAATTCAGAGATTGCATTGAATATTGGATCAAAATTTCGGGACCGCATTAAGTAAATTAAAACTTCAAGAATGACATTGTACATTGAATCAAAGTTCAATGACTAATTGTGTCATTTGGCCATTTGTGAACTCAGCATTATGGACAAGTAAGTAGAGTGCTGCATGTTACCGGTCAAAGTTCAAGTATGAATCTAATTGACATGAGAAAGCAGATTGGACAAGTAAGAGAAAGCCTTTTAGTTTCTAGGGATAATTTGAGAGATGCCATGCTTATGAAATCGTAGGATTATAAATGATTGTCCTACTTTGACTAGTTCTAATCGAATTTCTATCATTTTACCACACTGCAATGTCCATCCATATGTCGGTCATGGTTAATTGGTCAAAGGTTCGAATGCAAATCATGTCCTTAAAGAGTTACATTTGCCGTATCAATTCAAAATAGATTTATCTCCCACAGACTACACCACCCCGCCCCCCAAAAAAAAGAAAATTCTTTGCCTCGATCTACACTTACATATCATCAACCATAGTTCTTGACAGCAAATGCTTCTTTGCCTCGATCTACACTTACATATCATCAACCATAGTTCTTGACAGCAAATGCTCCAAAAAAAACCAGAAAAAGAAAGGAAGAAACGAAAGAAGAAAGTAATTCTTGGTGGTCAATGAGAAAAATTATTGCTTATGATTGTGACTGATGTCATCTCTTAAGTAATTAGACTAAGCCCCCCCAAAAAAAAAATTATGTGCTTTGTTGGACCATGCATACCCCAAAATCTATCAGAGCATCCAATTTCAGATGAAAAAAGTGGATTTGCTTTTCCCCAAACAGAAGCCAAAATTTCAAAAAGGGGGGGATGCAAAGTACCAAAAAGACACACAAACATCTGTCCATCAACACCCAGAAAGCGAATCCCACCAAATTTGTGATTTTATTGAATTTGAACAAGCAGAACTCAAAATAAAGAAACAAATAAAGAGATCAAATAAAACAAAAAAAAATCCCTTATTGTCAAATCCTCAAAGCGAAGGACCATGTGCCCCCACCACAGTCTATACATACCAGCCGTAGACTTTTTACAGTTAGCGACAACTCTATCACTCTATACACACACACAAAAAAAAGCGGTCTTTCAGAGAGAGAGAGAGAGAGGGAGTACAGAAGCTCCACTCCCCATAAAAACCCCTCTCCATCCCCATCCTTGCACCTCAAGCCAATCCCATCACACCATTTCCCCCTCCCCTCCCTCTTTTCCGCAAGACACATTCCTTTCTGGAGTCCTCTTCCAGGTCTTGTTCTGTGGGAAAACCAGGGTAAAGAAACGGAGGAAAATAGAGAATGGGGGTGGCGAACATGACGGGGCTTTGCTTGGAAGCGAGCTTGGTGCTGTTGGGTGGGAAGAGGAAGCTGAGGAGCTTGTTCTGGAGGGTGAGGGCAGAGATGAAGAGGCAAGCACTGAAGAACAAGAGCATCATCATCTGGTCTAGGAACAAGAAGAAGAAGAAGAACCAGAGGTTCAGCTTCCAGTATGACCCGTTTAGCTACGCCCTCAACTTCGACAATGGCAACTTCGGTTTCTTCTGCTGATGATGATGGAGTGTCTGAACTTGTTTGTTTGCTTTTTTTTTTTTTTTTTGGGGAGTAGCAGTAGCGTGGAAGAAGATGGCAGAGGAAGAGGGGAGGTTGGGTTTTCTTTTCTTTCTGGGGGAAGTGTCTTGTCATGTTTAGCGACTAATGGGAAAGCTAAGACACCCTTTTGGTTGGTAATCAAAAGCTTCAGCTGGTTCGCTTCATTCGAACAGAGATGAATGATGAGCTCATCATGAATTTTCTTGTCTCCCTTGCTCTTGCTCCCTGCTTTAGCCTTTATCATGTTTTATCTGAGTGCATCACTCTCTGATCACCCACCTTTTCTGGAGACAATCAGAACGATGGCTGGTTTGAAAATTGTTTAGGACGGGGGATGATGGAGAGAAAACTAGGAGTCTTTTACAATTTAATGGCATACCTATGTTGTCTGGCCCAGACACCGACATTGTTCTTTTGCTTCCATTTGGTCTACCGGCTGAATCGCCTTCTCTGAAACGGTCCATGCTGACATTATCTTTTAAGTACACATGTTACTCATCCGATAGCAAATGGGTAAAAAAGTTGTTTCCTTAATTATAAACGTTCACTACAGAGATAGTAATTTACAACTATAAAATTATCGGCGAGAGTCCGACTCGAATATTACTAATAAGTGCACAAACCCGACGCACGTTACAAGCATGTTTCGTGTAGGACGTGCCGCCCGTGATTTAAAGATGATTCATCGTCGAATTCGTGGTTTCCTCTATCTTGTAGAGATGTATTTCAGAGAGGCTTTTAACTTGTTAGGCTTGAAACCCTACCTCGTTAAAGGCGATCACGAGATCTTGTCATCTTGGGTTCATGCCTTCATGACATTCATTGGGTACCATTGTCGATTTTCTTATATCAAAGATTGTCACGTGGTGAAATCTCATTCGCTTGCCATACCTGTTACATAACCAAGTATTAATATAAGTTGGCAATATAAAGTAATTTAATCATCGGGTTAAATCCTTATCCAACCAGTCATCGATAAAAGCTTTTTATTTTTTCTGGATAATACTCTCTTGAAATTAGGAAATTGGGGTCCCGTAATACTCATGTATATGTATATAAACTCGAAGGCACCAAAATTGCGTGGTTCGTGCGTTCGTGCATTCTATAATTATAGGCATTCAATAGGTGGTTTCATAGGCGCGTCATCTAAAGCTTACTCTCGCACGATATCAAGCCAGAGGTACATTTTATTCCGGCACGTGCTATGAAATAATCGCGCTTTGTGCCATTTCAATCAAAGTAAGAAAAATAGTGACAAATAAGACATGTATACTTTTTCGTTTTTCTTATAAAGTTATAATGGTTGGTACTTATTGATTTTTTTTGTTTTGTTATTTCTTTGTTAAAATATCAAAGGGTTGGATTCTAATCTTAATAGATTGGTATTGGGTCATGATTGGGTGGCCCGTGATCAGCAATAGCTTGTTGTGGGTCGGGCCTGCCCATACCCGATGGAACTGAAAGCATTTTCCTTTTTTTGTTGGGTGGCAACAAATTGGGCCCGACCATCATGCTCTGCTCGTCCCAAGCCCCCATGATAGCCACCTCCAATGCCGGCGGCTGCCGGCCCGAGGTCACCGCCGGCACTCCCTCTGTCATCGTCGATGGGGCCACTGGTCGTTGCCGCCGGTCGGTTCAAGTTTCATCGTCGATTGGTCTTGGAGTTACTGCCGATCTCAGCCACCCTCGGCCATCTCAATCAACGTCGATTCCCGCCTTTCGACAACGAATCGCTTTCAAAGTAGAAATAAATATACAGAATTTTATGTAAGCATAGGCCGCTGGGGTATATACGAATCGTGCAATGCACATCACGACGACTCATTGCACTTCGATTCGACTCATGTAATTCTTCAAGAAATCATTTTCCAAGAAATGAATTAGCAATTGTCAGATCACAAAGGAATAGTTTTCAATCCCTTCCTGAACTCTCTTTTTTTTTGTAACTATTCAAGTATTATTGCGGTTCTCGGTATAGAAATTACGACAAAATGCACTTATTTGATGCTCATCAACGCCAGATTATCCAGGGTTGAGCAAAAGAAACTGCTCGGATAGGAAACCGCTTAGACTGGACCGGCCGGTTATGGGCGATTTCGAGGGCATCGGTCCGGTTCCCAGTTCCATAAAATTGGAATCGGTGAATTTCGGTTCCAGGTGCGGAACCGTCCACCGGACCGAAACAATTTTTTTAAATCTCTTATTTCTTAAAAATCAGTAAAAAAAAAAAACCTAATCTATCTCTCAGTTCACAAAAGAAGGTCCTTCAAAGCTAAAGTGACACCGTTTACTTATGCATGTGAGTAAGATAACAAGAACAAATCAAAACGAAACAACAGTCGCTCATTTCAACCAAATTTTGCCACAAATTGAAAAAAAATTATATGAAATCTATAATGTTATACGTAACTTACTCATTGTAAACATGCCTTGATTATTATAAACATCTTCAATTTCATCTTGAACATTAACGATAAATTAAACAAAAAAAGTTGAATATGCCACCGGTTTCATTGGCCCACCCGGGAATTCGACCGGACCGATCAGTCTGGTCAAATTCCAGGGTGGCACCAGTCCTGTCGGATTCGAAGATCCTCACCAATGAATACAAGAAGATGTACGCGATATAAATAAATTAATCAGATTGAAAAAAATGGTGGTTTTGATTATTTCGCGCAATATGGGACATATATATATGTCCATATATATATAATGTCAATAAGATATGCATATGGACCAAACAGCAAATGAATGGCCTTAGCTAATTAAATTGATTAGTAGAGCTAGGTGAAGAGGCTCTCGGTTCTAGAAATTGGGAACCGGTCTCTCTGGTCCGGTTCGGTTCGCGTTAAAAAATCCCATTTGACATTGCCTCGAACACTCGCCAGGAATGAAGTCCCGCGTACTATAAAAGCTCGACCGCCAACAACCTCGAACATGTGTTGCGGATCGCTGATTTTCAGGGCCAGATGCTCGAGCCCCCCTGGTCGCAAGTTTGACCATCGCAACAAGAACAAACCCCAGGTCAGGTCACGCCCCTCTTTGAAATCGCCACCCCAAAACCAACCCCATCTGGCTCTCCGATCGAAAGTGAATGACTGAACTTTCTCGAGCGTGATTTCATGCACTCTCTCTCTCGTCATTCCAAGAAAGCGTGCGTGTTTGCGAGAGAGAGAGAGAGTGACACAAAGAGTTTCTGTTTTGGAGAGAGAGAGAGAGAAAGAGAGAGATGTGAACGTGGAATTCGATGAAGATCAGATATGCTAAGTCGCCACGTCCAAACCCAACTCTTTCTGCATGAACCCTTCAATCTCTCTCTCTCTCTCTCTCTGCTCTGATAGATATTTCGTCTTGGGCCTCTTTCTGAAGTGTCGCTTTCTTGAGGAATCGAGCGAGTGGCACTTTTCTTGGGGTTCTGAAGATCGAAGCGAGGGAGGACCATGAGCAGGGAGCAACAAGAGATGGTCGATCTCGAGGCCCAGACCCAGAAAGCAGCCGCCGCCGCCGACGACGACGACCCGGGACTTGGAGGTGGCACGACGACCGTGACGACGGCGACGTCGTGCATTTTCAACAACTGCAGTAACCCCATCACTCTCAAGGTACGCCGAACGTCAGATTCCAAGATCCTCATATACCTAAAAAGGTGGCTTCGTATCGCGTTACTGGATTTGATGTGCACAGATTCTTTGTCAGACACGATAGCTAAGATTAAGAAAGAAGGGAGAAAGATTGTGCGCGGTTTGGTCGATCGATCGGGCATGCATGTTCTGCGTGAAGCCATCATGAACCAAACAATGTCCAGCGTGAATCAGAGGTGAACAGGGTTGACAAGAAAAGAAACCATGAGGACATTGATCATATTCAGTTCTTTCTCCAAATTTTCAGAATCTTTAAGCATCCGGCGATCGAATGCCATCACTCTCCAACGTTGCATTGTGTTGATTTTGCGCCTGTCAGGGGATGGATCTTTGGTGGATGCATATCAGGGTTCCAATTTGATTCGACTCGAGCCGGCTAATTAACACTCTTGAGCTTAGAATTAGATTCTTGTTAGATATGTGATCTTTGTTGAAGAAAATTCACTCAAAACCGCTCTTATCTGTATTGGAATTCAAATGTGTAATCCATTTAGATGTTGCATACTGACCATGTAATTTGATCACAGAGAGAGTTTGTGGAGAAAAAAGAATAGTCTACGCACGATTTTACAATGCTTTCTGATTATAGTTGCATTCAACTTATAATAGTCGAGGAATTGCTCCTTATATTTAGGTTAAGTCGTATTTACGCGCATTAAAATTTGTTTCATTTTCAACATGCTTGCGACTGTTTGAACTTCGATCTTTGTATATCACAGGACTAATAGTTTCGCCCGCTTTCCTCCTAACTATGCACAGTTTCACGACGTTGTTTACCAAATAAAGATCCATAGAGCAGCGGGAGGATTCCTCCGAAAGAGTACGAAGACCGAAGAGAAGGTGATCTTGAATGGACTCACCGGCGTGGTTCGACCCGGCGAAATGCTAGCCATGCTCGGCCCCTCGGGAAGCGGGAAGACCACCTTGTTGACCGCCTTGGGGGGGCGACTTGCAGGCGGCCGCTTGGCCGGGACCATTACCTACAACGGCAAGCCCTTCTCGAACTCGTTAAAGCGGAGCACCGGGTTCGTGACGCAAGACGATGTCATGTACCCTCACTTGACTGTGACCGAAACCCTAGTCTTCACCGCCCTCCTCAGGTTGGACAAGAGCTACACCAAAGAAGAGAAGGTCATGCACGCCGAGGAAGTCATAACCCAGCTAGGCTTGACCAAGTGCAAGAACAGCATCATCGGGGGCGGCGGGTTCCTGAGAGGCGTATCAGGAGGAGAGAGAAAACGGGTCAGCATAGGGCAAGAGATGCTCATAAACCCTAGCTTGCTGTTTCTCGACGAGCCGACATCGGGGCTCGATTCGACCACGGCTCAGAGGATCGTGTCGAAGTTGTGCGAGCTCGCGAAAAGGGGAAGGACGGTTGTTATGACAATTCATCAGCCTTCGAGCAGGTTGTTCTACATGTTTCACAAGGTGTTGCTCTTGTCCGAGGGAAATTCCTTGTACTTCGGGGAGGGAACGAGAGTGATGGAATACTTTGCCGGCATCGGATTCGCGCCTTCCGTGGCCATGAACCCTGCCGATTTTCTCTTGGATCTAGCGAATGGCATTGGTAAGTGCATGTTCCTTTGAAACAGTCTCTTGTCAAATTTTCTAGATATTATTAAGGTGTCACGAGCATGATGTTTCCAAACGCAGTTTCGTGATTAGAAGATGAGATAGAGCTGTTGTTCGATTGGATTACTAGCTATCCCCTTTTGCTCTTTCAAAACCGAACTCCTTATTTACTTGAAATTAATCCAAAACGCTTTTTATCTGTGGATATCCTCCGGAATGTGTTTAATTGAAATTGGGGGATACATAATTATGCATTTCGAGACATAATTTAATGCTCGAATTAAGACATCCATTTGCTAAAGAAATGTGCTGACATTGAATCCTAGGACATAATACTGTGAATTATTGCAAAATGTTGAGTCATTTGTTCCAGTTTTCTCGCACGGTGTTGATGTAACTGGTTTGCTACGAACCGCTCCCGAAGATGAACAGAAAGATAGCTAAAGCACGATTAAGCAGACCTTAGCTTTGGCATACAAGAACCATCTCGAGGACAGATTGAAACAAGAGCTCTGCCCGATTGAAGATTGCTTCGTTAAACAAGGACACTTAACACAAGGATTCCGATCATTGGCCGACAACATGATGGCAACAGTTCTCAATCCTCCTCAGAAGAGGGGTCAAAGAAAGGAAATACCAATCCTTCTCCGGCTTGTGTTCGAGTCCTTCTTGAGTGAAGCAATCTTCAACTGCGCAAAGCTCTTGTTTCAATCTGTCCTCGAGATGCTTCTTGTATGCCAAAGCCAAGGTTTGCTTACTTGTGCTTTTGCAAAATGTCGAGTCTTTTGTTCTAGTGTTCTTGCTGATTTGTTCATGTAACTGTTCCGGTAGGAACCGCTCCCGAAGATGAAGACAAAGAAAGCAAAAGCACGATAAAGCAGACCTTGGCTTTGGCATTCAAAAACCATCTGGAGGACAGATTGAAGCAAGAGCTTTGCGCGACCGAAGATTGCTTCATTAAGCATGGACACGAACACAAGCATTCCGATCGTTGGCCCACGACATGGTGGCAACAGTTCACGATCCTGCTCAAAAGAGGGGTCAAAGAAAGGAAACACCACTCCTTCTCCGGCATAAAAGTTGCGCAAGTGCTAGTCGTCGCTTTCATCTCCGGCTTATTGTGGTGGCAATCCGAGGCTTCTAATTTGCAAGACAAGGTATATGATGGGCGTTTCCTAACTTGTTTTTCTCGAGGAAAACACAGCTAGTTATCAAATTGAATCAGCTGTCCTCCTCTAACGTATGGACTAAAAATTCGAATCATGCAGATTGGGCTCCTCTTCTTCTACTCGGCGTTCTGGGGCTTCTTCCCCCTCTTCAACGCTATCTTCACTTTCCCCAAGGAACGGATGATGCTCGAGAAGGAGCGGTCGTCGGGCATGTACCGGCTCTCCTCCTACTTCATGTCCCGCATCGTGGGCGACCTCCCGATGGAGCTCATCCTCCCCTCCGTCTTCGTTGTCGTCACGTACTGGATGGCCGGGATGAAGCCCACGGCCGGTAACTTCCTGAGCACGCTCTTCGTGCTCCTCTACAGCGTGCTCGTGGCGCAGGGCCTCGGGCTCGCCATCGGCGCCCTGGTGATGGACCAGCAGTCGGCGACCATCCTCGGGTCGGTGCTGATGCTCTCGTTCCTCCTCGCCGGCGGGTACTACGTCCAGAACGTGCCCCCCTTCATCGCCTGGATCAGGTACCTGTCGATAAGCCACTACACGTACAAGCTCCTGATGGGATCGCAGTTCAAGCCCGGCGACACGTACCCTTGCGGCGGCGGTTCCTCCTGCTTGGTCGGGGATTATCCGGGGATCAAGAAGGTGGGGCTTGATGGGCAGGGCGTCTCCGCCATTGCACTGGGGATTATGTTCGTCGGGTACAGGCTCATTGCCTACGTTGCATTGATGAGGATTGGGATGGCCAAGAGGAGAAAGTAAGCGAAATTTTTTGTTTTTTCTTTCCTTTCTCTTATCATGATGTAATCTTCTGCACAATACGATGAAGTTGAGAGGAGCAAGCATTTCGAATTATCAAGACGTATTCGTTAATTTCTTATATTTTACTTAACATTTTATCGTATCGCAGAGTATTTGAGCTCAAGTTTAATCCTTTTTTTTTTCTTTGTTGGAGCTATGTCGATGAGAACTCAATTTAACCCTATTGGGTCGAGTAGATTTGACTTCAACGATAACAAATGGTCAAAGTTTTTTCATTATTTCGACGCAATTAATCAAAGTTCAACGTTAAAATCTACGTGTAAATTCTGCTTATGACTCTTCCGTCGGAAAGTAAAAAAACAGATACTTGAAATTTGTTAATATATTCTGATATTCATCATCTCGGTATTAGTTCACGTCATCATCTATGGGCTGGGCCTTCTAACCAAGACCGGGCCCAATCGGAAGATCCTCCAGCTTCGAACCGCGCCGGCCCATTACGAGCCCGTAAATGTTGGCGCGCGCCCAAGATGGAGGACGATCCAAACCGTCCAGTGCGTGCGAAAGAGATCGGACGGCGAGAGATGACGGCCACGTCATCGATCCCGCGCGATAACTGGCAACAACCCAGAACGCGCGCTCTTCAAATGGCGGCAAAAACTCGAAAAAAACTTCCACTCGATTTCGCAAATTTCGCCCTCTCGTTTTCGCCTTTTCAATTTCCCTCTTCAACGCCCTTCATAATAGCTCCGCTTCTTCTCAAACGAACACATTACATTCTCTCTCTCTCTCTCTCTCTCTCTCTCTCTCTCTCTCTAAAACCCTGTTCATCTTCTCCGCGACTTCGGAAGGAGCAGCGGCGATGGCGGGAGGAGGATCGTCGAAGTCGAACCCGCCGAAGGCGAGGAAGAGAGTGGAGGTCGAAGCCGCGGCGGCGGCGGCGGCGGCTTCGTCGCTCGTTCGCGCCAAGGATGGCAGCGCTTTCGCCCGTTGGTAACGTCCGTTTGTCCCGAGTTTTTCCATTTTCTTGTTTTTGAAATTTTTTGTTTCGCCGGAAAATCAACGTCCGAAGTAGAAGAAGTTCGTGGAGCGAGGCCGCGCGCTGTGCTGTGCCGGTCATCGTTTTTAGGTTTTGAGGTGCTCGTTTCTGTATGTCGCTGCTCGGTTTTCATCTCCGCTTAGCTCGTTGCTGGATCCGCGGTTTTGGTCTGTTTAGCCTCGGTAATGGCCGGTGTGGTATCTACTTCCGGTCGGTCTAGCTTCTGTGGTTAATGTTATGTGCCGAACCGGGCGCGATGTGTGTGTGCATCTTCCGGTTTTGATTTTTCTTTTGCATTGTATTGTCGTTTCTCTGTTTGTGTCTTGGTATGGATGATTAGGCGACTCCTAGGTTGTGCTGTATAGTGTATCTGCTTTCCAGAACCTAGTTTTCCACGAAGTTGTTGAGCCTAATCTTGTGCAATGAGTTATATACGGGACGTAAGCGCTAGTTTCGATTCACGTTTGGATTCGACTGTCGCTTTTCTGTTGAAGATTTTGTTTGGTCTATTGGATTTCCAATTCACGTGGTTTGTTGTTTGAGGAGTCCTGCCTTACTCTGCGATCATTTCCCAGAATCTAGTGTTATATTTGGAAGTTGTGGCTAATCTGGATGTGAATGTGGATTTGCAGTGAAGAGTGCAGCAAGGATGTTCCGGTGGCGCTCATTAGCATGCATAGTTGCGGCCTTGATGCCAAAATTAAGATGAATTTGGGTATGTTGTCGAGCCTCATTGCCTTTAAAGTATGACAAACGTGCTTGTATTTTCGGATTTATCCATAGACATTTATCTTGTACATAACTGTCAAGTATTTTGTTATCTCTGAAATTGCATGTTTCAATTTGAGTAATTTAGGAAATTCCATCTGTGTTTTTCAGAGGCTCAAGTCGTGGAAAAACCTGCTGAGGTGAAGAAGAAACCAGCGGATAGGTAAAACTCATATAGCTGGTGTACTTTGTACTATCTTGTGATCACACTTTAGGTAGATAATTTGTAAAAATTCTTGCAATTTGTGCTGCTGATGAATTGACAGAAAGAGGTCATCAGAGCCCAAGTCTAAGAAAGCTAAAACAGAAAAGAAGTCTAAGAAGGGCAAGGATGCAAACATGCCTAAGCGCCCTGCCACTGCATTTTTCCTCTTCATGTAAGGGCAGCAATGTGTGTTCGTGTGTTTTTGTCGACATCCCCCGTTTTAAAGTCCTTGTGCTGAATGAATTTGTTATGTTTCAGGGATGATTTTAGAAAGACTTACAAGGAAGCGAATCCAGATTCTAAGGGTGTTAAGGAGGTAAAAATGATTGACTCCTGCAGACAGTTCCTGGGATTTCCATGTCATATCCTTCCTGGTTAATTTTGTTTCTTGTGATTGTATAGGTTGCAAAACAGGGTGGTGAGAAATGGAAGTCAATGCCGGATGAAGTGAGTTCGTTTCTCTTTACTTGTGATGTTTCTCCGTAGGGCAGGATCTAGCAATGTGATCTAACCAGTGATTTGCCGTAGGAGAAAAAACCCTATTTGGACAAAGCTTCTGAGCTCAAAGCAGAGTTCAATAAGGCCATGGAGGCTCATAATGCTGATGATGGAGAAGTGAGCTCGACCTCTCTATTCTCTGTAGGTTTATATGAATCTACATGCACAGACTCACTTATAGATGTGCTGAATTTTGGTTTTCATGATTGGACAGAATGAAGAGGGTTCAGATAAGGAGGAAGCTGCAGATAAGGAGGAATCTGCAGATGAGGAGGAAGCTGCAAATGAGGAAACTGCAGGGGAGAAAGCTGAGGAAGTATTGGAGGATGAGTAGTCCATGCGTTGATGGTTTTCACGTTAGTTTAGGATGGTTTAGCATCTGGCTTCTAGTTGTTGTAAATCTAAGTTCTAGCCAGTGCACTTTTTGGGAAACTATTGATTTCTTTACCAAAGTTACTCTGCAAGTGGGCAGTGCATTAAACCTTTAATCTTTACTTCAATGCCACGGTAACGTTCGTTATGCTGGCGTTTCTCATTGCAGGAGAGCACTCTAGCTATTAATTGCTCTCTGTCATAAAATAAGGACGCGCCATTGCATTTGCACGTATTATTATAAAGATTAGATATCTCTTATAGATGTTCAAGTAGGAAGACAGATGAAATTATTGGATCGCTGACTTCTGTGGTTACAACGATTTAAAAAATGGAAGAATGACCTATCCTTCTTCCCTCTACCGATCCTATATGGATATATGTATGCTCACATGGCGTGAGCATTGATCTAATCAGACAAATTCGGTCAGCATCTTATTGGCCCGGTTCGCTGATTCTCCTACAAGGTGGCAGGGGCTTGCCACATAAGCACAGATTGTGGGCATAAGCCACTGGCGGAAAGATGTTAAAAGGCCTCACTTGTGGTATCTGTCCACATAGCCTGTTCGCCCTGAAATTTGCATGGTGAACGAGCCTCAACCCCACGAAGCTACTGGGGATTCTTCCCGTGAGCGCGTTGATAGACAGGTCGAGCCACTGGAGATTGCCCAATTGACCCAACCCCGGAGGGATGGTCCCGCTTATCCGGTTCCTCGAAATATCCAATCTTTCGAGCCCGACCAGGTTCGCGATCGAAGCCGGGATTTGGCCAGTGATTCGGTTGCTTCCGATGTTGAGCACCTTCAAGCTCGAACCCTCTCCGAATTCGGGAATAGCGCCTGATAATTGATTGTTGGTAACATCGATAGCCTCCAAGGAGCTGCTTGTCTTGTTACTTAATATTGCGGAGAGTGACCCTGTTAGGCGATTCGAGTGAAGATCGAGAGAGTGCAGGCCATCTGGTAGTTTGATCCCCGAAAGGTCAAAGCTGAGCTGATTGTTCCCCAGCTTAACATCACTTAGACTGGGAATATTCGCCAGAAAGCTAGAGATACCACCTGTGAAGGAATTGTCAGATAGGTCTACGTAGCTCAAGGAATCTGGTTTTGCGAAAACAGGCAGGTTTCCTCCGAGCTTGCAGCCGGCGAGGCGGACATCATACAATGGCCTGTTCATGATCCAACCAGGAATCGACCCTAAAGCGAGATTGTTGTATGAAAGATCGACCGTCGACAGAGACCGGATTCCTTGGCTGAGGGAACTAGGTAAAGGGTTGGACAGCTCATTCCTGGACAAGTTAAGCGACCAGAGATTCGTCAATTTCGAAAGGGAAGCCGGTATTGGCCCCGAGATCCTGTTGCCAGCCAACTGAAGCTGTGCAAGAGATTTCAGATTGCCAATCTGGTCTGGGATTTTGCCCGTGAGCAGATTGTGGCTCAAGGACAGCGCCGAAATGCTCCGCAAACTAAGCAATGAAATCGGTATCTGGCCCGACAGCTGGTTGTTAGAGAGGTCAAGATTGGTAAGGTTCGGAAATAGCCCCGAGAATTCCGGGACCGACCCCGATAACAAGTTGAAGCTGAGATCGAGAAACTGCAATCTCTGCAAGTTTCCGAAGATGGGCGGTATCGGACCGGCAAGGAAGTTCTTGGCCAAGTTCAGCAGACCCACATTCCTGAGATTCCCCAAGCTCGGAGGTATCTGACCCCGGAACCGGTTGCCCGTCAGCGAAAGGGCCTGGAGCGACGGCAACTGGCCGAGGCCCGGGGGGACGACCCCTTCAAGGGAATTGTACTCGAGGACCAGCTGAGCGAGGCGGGGCAACTTGAAGAGGCTCTCGGGGATGATCCCCGTGATGTGCTTCATCCCGGAGATCGCCAGCACCTCCAGGAACCGCAAGTCGCCCAGGGAAGGCGACAGGGTGCCCGTCATGTAGACGCCGCTGTCCTCCACCGATCCCTGGAGCATCAGCCCGGTGACCCTCCCCGAAGGGCCGCACTGGACCCCCTCCCAGTCCTCGCAGCAATTGGTCCCCGTCCAGGAATCGAGGTTCCCGGAAGTGTCCTTCGAGATCTTGGCCTTGAAGCTCAGGAGAGCGATCCTGTCCGCCTCCGCGCATCCCCCCGCCGCCGCCGGCGCTCCTCCGTCTCCAGAGCTCTCCCGAGCCCCGACCGACGCGATCGCCGCCGCCGCCGCCGCCTGCATCAGGAAAAGAACGGCGGCGACCCTTCTCGGAACCATCCGCATTTCCTCGGGGCCGCCTGGGGATCGGTACTGGCAAAAGACACGGGGTGGGGTGCGGTGACGGAAGGATCTTCAGCGGGGGGGGGGCGGCGCTGCTGCTCATCTTAACGTTGCGCGGGGGGGCGCGCGCGAAGGGAGCTCACGGGGAAGCTGCGAAGCAAAAAGGGGGGTTTGGCGATTACGCTAAAAATTTGCTGCCTTCGTGCTGGCAAAAGGAGGAGGCGAGGGTGGGGCGCAATGATGGAAGCAAGAGGGAGGCAGGGATTCTCTTATGTTTTTTAAGGAAGTGTGAAGGGAAAGGGAGCAAAAACGGGGTGCTGCAGTTCACCCAAAAAAACAGAGAGAGAACCCAAAAGGGTGTGAAGAAGACTGAACATCTTTTCTGCTATTTATAGGCCCCCCCCCCCCCTTCTTTTTTATTCTCTCTTGGTATGAAAGTTATTTATTACGCAAGTTTTTGAAAGAAGGAAGAGGAGGGGAGAGCGCCACCGTGTAAAGGCGTTCACATGGTGAATTTGTGACCGTTTGATGGGATCACGGGGGGGGATCGATCGTAGTTCAACGGGAACGTTGGAGCGCACCGGATTCAAAAAATCCCCATCTCTCCTCCTCCTTGTAATCGTAATGATATTGTTTATTCAGGCCTCTTTTTCTTCTTCCTCTTCTTCTTTTTTTCCCTTCCTCCTGGCCCAGTAAATCAGCGAAAAAAAATAATAATTAAAATTTAAAAAGAAAAAAAAAACCGTAATTTTTCCATCTCTTTGAACTTGACTTCTTGACTTTGAACTATGATGGTGATTCTCATGGGCGGGGTGGTGATGGACTAAGTAGCACCGACACGCGACATGACACGACACGCCGACACATTATTTCTCAAAAAATGAGAATTCCGACACATTAGGACACGTTATATATAAAAATATATACATAATAAATTATCATTTTTATGATTATTGCAATTAAATTAATTTGATTCTAATTCATAAATAAATAAAAGAGTGTCGGCCAAGTGTCGATATCCGACACGACACGGAGGCCTTCGGAGAGTGTCCGTGCTTCCCAGGTGATGGAGGGGGGGGTGAGTGTGAGGTCATGTGGATGGATGCACCGTAAAGCCATCATGATGATGATTGATGAAGAAATTGCCCACAGCTTGCAATCTCAATGCGGGTCCCCGGATTTTTTGCGTTTTTGATCTATTCATTTCTATGCTTTTTGGTAATTTTCCACGCCACATTTAATTGTAGTATCATTGCCCATGGACAGGGAAAAAGTGAAGGTGAGTCGAATTAAGCGCGAAAAACTTTTTTTTATTTTCAGGTTTATTGGTTTGTTCTCGGTTGGAAAAACGAAATGGGTATCCTCAATAGGATTATTTCGTTATAGTATGCCTTTTCTTTTTTGCCCTAAATGGCACAAATGGTTCATGAATTTTGATTCAATGTGCAATATGGTTCTTGAACTTTAGCCTATTGTTCAATGTGGTTCTCGAATTATCAAATTGTTCAATATGGTCCATGGACTTTTTGTACATGTTTAATTTAGTCTTTGAATTATATGAAAATGTTTAATGTAGTCCATGAACTTGAATTAATGGACATTTTCATATAGTTCTGGAACTGAATTGAACATATATAAAAAATTCAGAAATCACATTGCAGGTTGGGTTAAAGTTCAGGAACTACATTACATATTTGGCCAAAGTTCATGGACCATTTGTGTCATTTTCCCAAATTGAAATATATATAATACCAAAAGCAAAAAAAAAAAAAAGCCCCTTTTTTTGGGCCCCTAAATCGTATGCATGAAGAAAAGCAAATTTAGTTTAGATCCAAATGATGGACCGACCCTAAATGAAGGGGATTTGCTTTGCTTTTAGATCAAGTGCATTATCTCAAAATGATATTATCGTGAGGACAGATCATGTGATAGCTCCTTGCTTTGACCCAAATAAGAAAAATACTAGACGGGTCTATTTTTTTGACCTCGCGAAATTGATTGACAACTGTATCTAGAAAAGTGAAATTATTAGAGCTATGGACCGTGATTGCTCCCAAGGAGCAAATAGCTCACAGATTTCATTTGGATTTACCAGGCAAAATGATGCCATCGCCATCTTCACATTTACTTCCACATGATTACTGAATTTTTACCCTTTTCTTTAAGCTTGCTTGCTTGCATGCTTCCCGTAATAAATCTTTTTTTTTTATCTATCAATTTTTTCCAACTTAATTATTCAACCATGTAAAACTACTTCCTATTTTATTAAATTATAAAAAAAATAATGAAAATGAATTGCCATGTTGATCCTTTCTGTCAAGTGATTTGCAGATCAATCTTTTGGAGCAACAACTGATCAGAAAGTGATCTTTTCTTGACAACTTCGACTCGTTTGAGCAAGAGGTTGTGCGAAGCGTTTTTCATTGTCTGATCTTATTGAGCCCTAGGAAAATTACTCAAATGCAAAATGGAATTTTCAGTCGGCCCCTCGTCGATATAAAAAATCAAACAAGTACAGTAAATAGACATGTTGCCCCATTTTAAAGGTGTATAGTCTAGACAGTTCTCTAACTTCTCGAATCTTTCGATTAATCTGCCGTGCACCCAATTCAACGCCATCTCTATCTAATCTTGGCTACGATCATGACCCTCGTCAAGAACGTGGAATGATCCGAATCGCTATTACTTGCTCTTTCAAGACTATACGAAGTTATCCATTGAATTTTGCTTTCTCCTTTTCCGCACCACGTCTCCTTAAAGCAATATGTTCCCACCGATTATGATAATGCAAGCTGATTGAACTGAAAAGGACATGGCACATCACAGCAATTTGCCAGTTAGCAGATAAGAGTGATACAGCAACCAGAAGCTTGGGCTCTCCACTTAGGACCCTACCAAGGCCCTCCTCCTCCTCAGGAGAACGCCAATGGTCTAAACAGGTTCCAATTTGTCCGTGGTCTGAACAGGTCTCCTGATGACGTTAGCACAGTCAGAATTGTTGAATCTTTATCAGACTACTTTCAGACAATCTTGACTTCATCTTATTATATTTCAATCTCTGAAAACCCCCCATAGTCAAATCTTCCATGAAGTTCAGAGAAATTTTAAAAAAATGCCCTGATTTTAAGGTTCCATTCCGCAAAAACCACACACATTTCTGCGGCTTTCGGTTTCGAACGATGAAACTGCATCGGTCGGGCGTGAAACTATATGATGCCGACTTAGATGTAAAATCGACCATCACCGTCGTGTGTTCCAACAAAAAAAAAAAAGAAGGATATTTACTCACGCGACGTAAGCCTATGCTTATTTTTCCGCTCATCGTGGTATCGTTAGGCCGATTTATTCACTAATTTATCTACTTATTTTTACCCAAAACAATATGGACCCACATGTAAAAGAATTGTCGAGAGTGCATGTGATCATGTTAAAAGCAAAGAGTGGAGCCTCGGAGGTACTTCAATGGAAGGCAAAAGGGAAAAATGGGGAAGCTTCATGGAGAGTGGGATTAGATCATGCATAGTCTTCACTAATTAGAAGTTAATCACAAGCTAAACTTTGTCTTGTGTGCATCCAATCACGTTTTTGCTTTTGCTAATCTTGCTTTTTGAGGGGGGACATCGAACCACTTTGAGTATGTGCTGGCCAAGTGGATACGTGTGTGAATAGAGGGTGGACCCTAATTTTTACACTCTTTTGGAAAAATTAGAGAAAATCTCAACGGTTGCTTTGGCTAATTAGCTGAGAATAAAGGAGATGATGGGACTACTATTTTGAAAGATAAGCATAATCTCCATCCTCACTCCAATATAGATTAAGTACAGACGAGATCTTGCTTTTACTATTCAAAAAAGTGTTTTAAGCAAAGATTATATTTCAGTGACTGCCGTAAGATTATAAAAAAGAAAAGGATGGAAAATTATGAATTTAATGTATGCGTGCAAGAGTGGCATATATTAGTCGAGTGAGTAAACATTTTTTTCTATTTTCCTTGAATCGATCACAATAAAGGGTTTTTTCCCGTCTATCATGTCATGCGTACTGCAAAAGTTATTTTTAAGTAGCAAAATCGTTTACTTTAAAAAAGAATTTACAATAATTTTACATAAACCAAGCTTCACACAGCCCCCATCCATGCTATAAAATATCTAATATTTTGACTACTTTTCCAAGGTTCACCACCCCAGACAGACCAGACCGCCTATTTAAATAAACCCTCATTCAGTCCTTTCTTCTTTTCTTTTTCCTCTGTTTTCAAATGATTATCCAAAGAAATGAAACCGTGTCCTGGCCAATTTGCTCGCAGTGGGAAGAAAAAGTGCGATCTGTGTATCCTAACAACTACAATTGATGATCAGATTTGGGAAGGCAATGCAAAGTTAGTGACGGCTGGACATTGATACTCGAAAAGCACAATTAAATTACCTTATTTTCTCCCTTTTTCTTCTTCTTTTCCTCACTGTTTTTGTTTGGTGAAATCTGGGTCACGCCCCTTGAATGGCATGGAGCCATTGGAATCCAGAGAGACAGCAAGTGACCCTGTACTGAAAACCTGATGAACGAACTGTACTGAAATCTGTCTGCTCCAGATAGGACAGCAAAACGGCATTTTGATTTCCACTCTCTCTCTTCTTCTTTTTTTTTTCCGTCCTTTTGACAGACTTCATGAAGAATTTCCCCTCTAATTGGAATCAGGTTCCGCTGATTACGGGGCCAATGGGAGCAGTCCACGTGGATGGGGAAATTTCTGAGCTGGAAGTGAAGCCTTGAAGTTGAAGATTGGTGGAGAGAGTCCCCCCCCACTTTGATTAGTGTGGAGAAAAGGGGGGCTACACAAAAGAAGAAAAAAACAACGCAGTTTTATTTTTTGGGTCCCAAAATTGGTGGGTGGTTGACGCCCAAGCTCACGAAAAGCCATCAGGCACTGAAAAGTGAAATGATTTGGTTTGGGTCCGTGTCGTATCTCCTCTTGCAAATTTCAAGTGGAGTTCGTCGTCAATCATGTTACCGTTATTCAACTTTGCTTTGCCCGATTGTCTAAATTTTGAAAAAAGAGGAATCTTTTACTGTTTTTTGTGGCCCGGCAGTGTATCAATGTAGTAGTAGTGATGAAAGAGAACGATTGTATGAACTTCAGCTCCTCGTACCTAGGATGATGTTCAGCTAATAGAGAGAAGAGAGAGAGAGAGCGACATACGCTCAAATGGGTAGGTTCTTGTTCGCCGTTATCAGCTTAATTGCCGGTGAATTGTTCGAAAGAGAGGACCTTCTAGTTAGAGACTCCATGAGATAGTGGCGTAGATAAAAATGACAAGAGACTAACCTCGACAATCGAGAGGTGTGCGGGTCGGACTCCTCGTGCTTACCATTCCTCCGACCTCACGGGATTCATAAGAATGGTATTCTTTGTTCGAAGAGGATGCAATTTCATGACCACGTAAAGTTCTTCTATCGGTTCCTAGATCCATTTAAAAGCAACACGGCCCAAGTAAAAAGTTTCTGGGATTGCTTGAAACCTTAGACACGAATTGCGGAAAGAGCGTCGGTTATATGAAATTGAGCACAAATGTCAATCGCCTCAAAGGACAGTGAATCTACTACAAAGTTCCTATATGCTAGAATAGCTCCATGTACATTAAAGCAACAGAGGATTTAAGACCCCATAAATGATTTGTCCAGTTAGGCACAAGCCACGATGCTTACCTTTTCGAGTAAGGTGATTAGTTTAGGCCTGATTCCTTGGCTTTCCTGGATACCCAAGTAGCATTTACCTAGATTCTATTCACAATAGACCTTGAACCGCTGCTCCTAGGTTGCCTCAAGATAGAGTTGAAAACGGACATCAGAGTGTGAAGGACAGGAGCAAAATGTCAATTTGACACTGACGCTCAGCACCTCGAGAAGAAACAACTTCTTTGAATTTGGCCACATGTATAGGGGCAAACTTTTTATCGCGTGAACCGCAATAATGTGCACCAAACACAAACGCGGAATCTCTAGAGCTTATTACTAAACCTCACCTTCAATCGACAGAGCTTGGAGAGGCACTTGATACGGACATCGTTGTCGAGTTGAGAAGAGCATCAACCAGCTGGTCTATATGTCTAGTGAACCAAAGAAGTCGACCTGACGATGGGGAGTCAAAGTCGGTGCAACCACCCATATTCATTTGAATCATCCAAATGAAACATAAGTTTGCACCGCTGTTGCGGTAGCAGCACTAGAGCAGGATGTGTAAAGATACTGGCATTGCGCACCAATTGCCAAAGAGATCACACTCAGAATGCAAAACTGAAATGTGTGCCACGAAGTTCCACACGTTAGTCGCCGCCATTCGTAATAATGACTACTAAGAAACAGATAACATGGCCGAACGGCTCTACAACCCAAAGAACAGTCGCAACTTGGATTTCATTTGGTGAAAAGGAGGACAAGTCACATTTTCTTCAAATGCACAGCTAAGTTACAGGTTATTCCGATTGGATGGAACATTCTCCTCAAGGACCTATCTTTTACATAGCCTCATAAAATTCCAATCCAGCTTTAAAGAGGAACTTCAATTCCATGACCAAGGTTCAAGGGGAAATCAAAACAGAAGCATACTGGGGAAAAAAAAGAGTGGGAGAGAGATATTTGTCATTAACAAATATAAAATATAACCAATATATGCAGTGACTGTCAACATCAACCTGCAGAAACTAGAATTGACCAAGAAAACAAAATCATACATCAGCTAGGAATTGTTTCCCTGATCGGATTGCCAGAAGTTCAGTTCTTCCAAGAAACTAGGCATATTTTCTGCTCCAACATAACTAAGGGCAGATCCAAACAATCTGAAATCAATGAACAGGGCTAGATACGCAACGTACCACAGACTGGAGGGAAGAACATACCATTCATAATGGACGTACCCTAAGAAACCACTTACAAATTTGAAAGGCCCTGGACAAATGAAAGAATTCCCCTCCAGGCAAAGCATCAGATAGTGGTTGTAGACGTACATCATGTCATTTCTGTATGCTCCCTCCAGTAACCAACGTAATTGGATAACTGAACAGGTCTCGGGTTCCCAATTATAAGAAATAAGGCACACCTGTCCTTGGCCCTCTCATTTGGTTGTTCTCTTCCGTTTCAGTAAAGAACTTTACTTCTCTCTCCTAGTAGACATTACACATATGCACACAGAGACCAAGAGGTTTAGACCCAAAATATGATAATTTGCACTAATGAGATATTATTCTAGTATCTAATGATGTTGTAGAGGCGCACTAGCCTGGAAAACTCACCATGTTCTCATTAAAGCTCAATATAGAAGCTACATTTCCACACCGATAGCAGTAATTTGGTGCAGACCAGACCTGTAAAGGTGCAATCAAGCATCAGTTATAAGATTGAACTAACTCATCGCAAACGGTACTGCAGAAAGGGCCTTGAAGACTCACAGTTACGAGGCCTTTGTCTTGAAACATGTATTTAAGGCCTTCTTGTACAAGCTGGTGAGCCCGACAAACAAGATCGAGATTGTTTATATGATTGAACTGCAAGAACGGAAAACAGGTAATAAAATTAATAAGCCACCAAGATAAGCACCTTCATAAATTATAGCATGCCGATATTACCTCAGAAGTCACCCTGGACCCAAAAAGCCACCCTGCTCCACGAGGACTAACTGCCCATGTCTCAATATCTTCTGGATCACTCCACATGAGATCACAGAATGGCCCCTCATGTGGGATTTCGCAATTCCGCTCAATCAATCTTATCTGAAAAAAGACCAAAAATATGATGCCATAAGAAATGTAAAACAATGGATCAACAGTATTCATCAAAATGAAAAATGTGCCACAGGTAAATTACTAGATAAATTACTAGTTCCACAGAGGAGATAAACTCGTAAGTGGATTAAAAATAATGACATGGTCAATCCATCCATTTACAATATCTGGTGATTCTGCGAATAACTCAAGTCACATCACAAGAATTAACAAAGGATACTTCTCCGACAATACAAAGGTATCTCATCAAGCAACTGCAACTATACATTTAACACATTCCGAAACAGTAAACATGTCAGTTGCATAGACTGAGCTTTCTAACATTAAGCCATTTACAGAAATCTCTGGCACAAACACTTCACTATCCTATAGCAGTCTTGTAAGTGTAACAGATACTGTTAACTAGGACGAGGACGCATCATCGCTGACTCCTTGTGCTCTCATTTTTTGCACTTATCTGGGAATTATTATTTTCAATTTCGACCACAGAAGAGTGATTCACCTTAATAATGTGAAGCTGATACAAATTTGCTGACTCCAATCTTATGAAAATCCTAAGTTGATGTAGGTTAATCATAAAACTCCAACAAATTCCAGCTTTAGGCTACATGCCACAGATAAGTGCTTCATCTTAGTTAAGCGTAATGAACATGAAAGCTTTTGCAATAGATCCATATGGTTCAGCTAATAACAAATTTCATAAAGTTATTAATAACCATCTCCTTCTCTTGTTCTTTCAGCAAAGTTCAAAAAATACATTGCACAGATACACCCACATCACTATTAAGTAAAAAGTCCAGCTCAATCGATCTAGATAAATTTTTGGCCAAGACAAAAGAAACCAATCCAGATGAAGTTCCAAATGTGGAAGTGATGGTAATAATTCTTTCAACTTATGGAAGGTAGATAGATTTTCCATTCAAATAATGGTCCGGCCATTAAACAGTATTCTACTTCTAGTGTGGCTATAACAAGTAAAGAAAACCATATCATGTATATTAGGGAATGTCTGCATACCCATCGATGTGAAACTTACACTTTCTATTTTGCCTATCGGTTCACTAGGACTAAGTTTTCAGATCATATCTTGTATCCTACAGTTCACTCCAAGAGGAGTATCCTACAGTTTCACTATGATCCCGCAAGAACAAGCTTGCTTATTGATTGGTAGCATTTTCATGGAAACAAGAACACTAAATATTTAAATCTCATGTCTGTTAATTTATATAGCACGAATTTGTAGCATACTCCTACCAATGAACAAGTAAATCCAAAATCTGATGCAATTATTAATGAAGGAGACCTTATGGAGAGATTGGCGAAACTATGCTTGATTAACGATAACAAGCACTGGAATACTCTTCCAAACATATTTCCAGTTCAGAAGCACATTCACATAACTCTGCCTATATGAGACTCTCTAGTCCAAATACCCAGATTTGGTTAAGAGACATTTAAAGAGAAAACATGCATCTCCAGGTCAACACCATATGACAACTGCACGGCTTCTCCATAATCACATCTATTAACAACCAAAAAAAAAAAATGCTATTAGTATCACGTCAACATTAGAAATACCTGGTCAATAGTCCTAATGTCAGGAGAGAGACCACCATGGACACAAAGTACCTGCATAACAAAACAGATGAAATATGTATATTTAGATGGTCTGATATTTCTGCATATCAATCATAACTATGCTTGTGAGAGAGAGAGCTGTACCGTTCCATCTATAATTGCTGAGAGAGTTAAGTAGTCAAAAACATCAGTACAATACCGCCAAGCATTGGCATTTCCATACTTCCTTTGGCATTCATCATAGAAACCATATACCTACAAATTTGCCAAATATCAGACTAAGTTGCTAAATGTACCATGCATATTACTAAACCATTTACAGAACATGTTTCAGTAAATTCATACATAAGGCCTGAATGTATCTTGCTGAATCTTTTCCTAGGGTACCTAAACAATCACAGGCTTCCTCAATGGATACAGATCCAAGTCCTAAAGCAATGAAGCCATGGCTTAAAATATTTAGAGCACGAACATATTTGCACAAGCAATTTATATATGTCCCTGAAATTTTAATGAAGGGCTTTCTTAGGTAAAACAGCTAGATTAATATACTTGAATAAATAAGTTTTGCTGAAGAGCGCAGCATATAAACACCAAAATTTTTCAACAGAGAGAACAACATTTTGCCAATGACTAAGATGAGAATAATTTTGGAACGCTCGTCAATGACTATCGTTAAAGAATGGCGCCCACTCCTTGCCACTTCAGAAAAATCTCCTCGGATAGAAAAAGCAATCAGATAGACAGACATTAACGCAATGGACATGAATACTGTTGGCAATTGCTCAACGCTCGCACGCCAAAGTCTATTCAGTAAATAAAGAGAAATGCTCAGGAAATTGTAACTTCAATTTATGTTGAAGCAAAAATTAAATGTGTAAACCATCTTCTTTTCTATCATTTGGAGGTCAAAAGTAAGAAACCAGAGGAGACCTATAGAAAATTTATTACAGGATGTCAGTTGGTACAAAAGCAGCCAAATGGACGTCACTAATAAGATGTTGAAAGAGAATAGGTAAGTCCCTTGCGCAGAACAATTTGAAAGGCGGGAGAAAAAGGAGACACAAGGACTATGGCATTCCTACTATAAAAGTTATTCTTCCAAATGCAACTCATACCTGGGTAAGTTGCCTGCTTTCATGATTTCCACGTAGAAGTGTGATATTGGCAGGGTATCTGTCATCACAACCACCAAAAAGAGCCAAAAAAATCAAGCTCGAACACAAGATAGCTTCTTGAAAAAACATCTAATGACCAGCATGAGAAAATACAAATTGTAGGATTGCTCCTTCAGCAAGAACAACAATGGCAAACTCGAGTACTTGATCTATATGTTGCTTATGTAGAGCTAAGAAACAAACAAACTAATGCAACAAGAATAAGGCAATGTCAAAACTCAATAGGATGACAAATGCATAAACAAGATTGATAACTAATAAAAAAAAAAAAAGAAGTTGTGCAATGATTCAGGGTATACCTAGCTTTTAGAAGCAAGAGAATGGTAAAAACTTCAAGACTGTTATAGCCTCGGTCAACAAAATCACCCTAGAAGCATCAAGAAATTTGCATGGTAAGAAAAAGGATGCAAAAAAACACGCGGAAAGATATCAAAGCCTGTATTAGCACCAAAGCAGTATACTGTACCATAAATATGTAATTAGTCTCTGGTACATGACCACCTGTCTGGAAAAGTTTCATAAGATCATGAAACTGACCATGAATGTCACCACAGACAGTAACTGGACTGTTGACAGGTTGCACATTGGACTCCTCTATAAGAATCTCTTTAACCTGTGATGTCGTATGGAAAATTACAGTCAGTCAATGGACTTACAGCATATTCGTATTAGATAAGAACTCTATGTGGCTGGCAAAATCCACAAGAAGATCTCAAATAGAAGATAAATCAAAGCATTTGTACGTGATACTACTAATCACTCTCCAAAGCATGCTAAGTAATCACAACACCACCTAAAATCAGGCCAGGTTTACCTTCCATCCAACTTAGCATGTGAAAACAGTGAACAAAATATGCAAGATGTGAATTTCAATAGCTGTCCGTCCTACCTAAACAAAATTAAGAGAACATGCTGCACATATGAACACCAAAGACAAAATAATCAGTGAGTTCAGAAGGGTATATCCCAAATCTCACATCAAAATCGAAAAGTCATGCAGTTCCTTTGTGTTCATTTTCTTTCTTCTCTTGCAACATATGCATATTCATATGCATAGACATCAGTAAAAGTAAACCCAACAACTGATATCACCCAAACTTTAAAACATGAAACTGCACTGTGAAAAGATACTTTGAATCTGGATACAAACATACTGAAATGACAAATATGCATCCGAATATCCGCCGATTAAAACAATAACGTACTCAACAACTACATCCGCAGGAACACTTCACTTAAATCATAAGCTATCCGAAGCCGTATGCAATGTATCCCATTTTGCCACTACTCGTCTACTCTATCTATTCAAAATACAGAAATTGAGTGTGTCGAGCCAGTAAATCCTATCCTGAGGAACCATGAATAGGAAACCCCTCACCCAACCCCAACAGACCAGCGAGACAACCGAAGGGATTGACTTTTCACGTTTCGATTACTCGTAAAACACCAATCCAGCAAAATGGGAAACACCCCCAAAATATCTTCAGCCGTCTCTCCCGGCAACCACGAAGCCCGAGCCGAATCGAACAACAACAGGAACAGAAACGAGATCGCGAGATCCCAATCCCCCACCCAACAACAAACACACAACGACGACAGCGAGAAAGGCAGGAAACGCATCCTTCCTCTCGCAATGCCCGCACGTATCAAGACAAGCCAAGACCCGCCCGCCAGAACTCCTCAATCGCGCCGATTCCAACTCGGTCGAAACTCGACCGGAAGGAGCCGTCCCAACTCGACCGGAGCCCTAGCCGATGCCCCGGGCCCCGCGCGAAAAACCCTAAGCCCAAACAAACCACTCGACCACGACAGAGACAGAGAGAGAGGGAGAGGGAGAGCAAAGGCATACGTATTCGCAGAGCAGCTGGAGCTCGTTCTCGAAGAGGTGATCCCCTTCCTTCACCTTCGAAATCCAAGCGTCCAAATCCATATCTCTCTCTCCCTCTCGCCCCCTCCCCCCTCCCCCTCGCTGGAATCTCCGCCCGCGTCAAACCGAGGAAGAGCGAGACGAAGACGACGAGGGAGGAAGAAGACGACGGAGCGCTGAAGGATTTCTCGTTATTGACGAGTTCTCGGTGTGGGGGGTGATGGGGAGACGAGGAAGGGCGAACGAGAACGGAGGAGGCACGGAGGAACCCGAAACGGGAGTGAACGTACGATCGCTGAGGTCAAATTGGCTTCTCTTCTCTTTAAAAAAAAATCCTCTCTTTTCTCGTTTTTTTATTTTCTTTTCTCCCTTTTTTATATCCTTTTTTTTTGTGAATTTCTGTTAAAACCCTCTCTCCTTTTTTCGTCGTTGAGAAAAGTTATTAGTCCCCCTTTTCGGCTAATCAATTGTTGAACGCTCGATTGCAATAATTACTAAATATAAAATATCGAGGCCCTTTTAGAGTTTATCGAAAGATAAAGCAAATGACTCGGTTTCTCTTGATATTATTTGGCTCCGTTTGTTTCGCGAAATACATTTTCATTATTTTCCGACGCTTGAATCATTTAGAAAAATGAGTCAATGAAAAACTTAATGCTTATTCTCAATGTCCAGGACTGGGCTCAAGCCCCATGTCCATCGAGGCCGTGCTCAGCTTCTTGATGCCCGAGACCGAGTCCATTGATGTAGAAGCCGGGCACTCAGCGCCCAAGTCCATTGAGGTGGGCTCGAGGCCTCGGTGCCGGTGCCCAAATGCCTTGACACCTAGGCCCTGGTCTACAAAGGTCAAGCCAGGACCTGACATCCGTGCCCATATCCATAAAGGTCGTGCTTGGTTCCCTAGCGCACAAGCCTGGGTCCCTAGTGGCTGTGCCAAGAACCCTCACGGCCTAACCCTAGGTCCATCGAGGCCGAAGCTAGGACTCCTGATGCTCATGCTCAAGTCCATCGAGGCAGGGCCCAGGACTCTAATATCGGTGGGTCCCCTGCGCCCAAGCTCGTGTCCATTGATGCTAGGCCCGGGTCCTGGCGACCAGGCTTGATCGTTGGCGTCCCAAGCTCTGGCGCTAGGGACCTAAGCTCAAGTGCGAGGATCCAAGCATGGGCGCTAGGGTCCCAAGCTCAGCCTACAAGGACCCAGAAGTGAGTACCATGGACTTAAGAATAGGTAAGTGGAGCCCGACACGAGGGGGCTTGGCCTCGATGGACCAAGGCTCGAGTGTGAGGGACCTGAGCCCTAGCAGCAGGGGCCTAGGTGGCTAGGGTTCCCAGCTCGGCCTGTGTGGACCCAAGTAGAGGCCTAGCCTCCGAGGTCTATGCTCGGCCTTTATGGACCCGGTGCCAAGGATTTGGGCAAGGGCATCGAACCCTTGTGCCTAGCTTATGTGGATCAAAGCCGAGGTGCTAGGAAACTGTCCACGAATACTGAGTCCTCAATTCCAACTTTCGTGGACCCACGACCGATGCCCGTGCTCTTGCTCAAGACACAAGTTATTATGTTTATGTCTAGTCTCCAACTATCTATGCCTAAGTCACTAGTGTCCAAATAGTATAAATGTATTTAGAAAAATCAAATCAGATTTTCTTTTCCAAATGATGGAAAATATATTTTGGTTCTTTTCTAGATTTAAGCCGAACAATGGAAATTTTTTTTCAGAAATGTAACATATTCCGTGAAAGCAATGAATCTTAAAAATAATTGTTTGTATTGCTTGAAATAAATAGTTAGTGGAAAATATTTTCATTATCAACAACGATTTATATCGAAACATTTTCGGGGGCTACGAAAATATTTTTCGTCTAGTTATTTTTGTTACAAGTGATCGTTTTTAAGAAAATATTTTCAAAACTATTAATTTTCCGTGGAACAAATGAAGGCTTAAAAAAATCTCTTAATTTGTTGAGATGGGAGGGTAAAAATTGGGAGAACAGAAGTTTGCAAGATGTAATTGATAAAATAAAACTTTTCAAACTTAAATCTAATGATCAAGAATAAATTCCGAAATTACAAGCGAGCGAAAAGAGCACACGGTACAAAAAAATCACGTGAAGCGTGTACGGCTCTACTCGCGACCTTATTTATTCGCATTGAAATGTCACGAACTCGATCAACTTTATTCAATTTCGGTAGTTAATTTCGACAAAAAGGAAGTTTAGGAAAAAAAAATCGGATTTTAGTTAATTGGCATAAGAACCCTATCGGATTGAATTTAATAAATGGAAGCTTGGATTTGATGAAAACCCTTTTGGATTCCCTCTCAATAGAAATAAATAATTTATTTAGGTTTATTCAATTAAGATAGAGTGGTGATCTGTATTTTATTTGATTAAAAGAGGAAAAATCGAATACCATTTTAAAAAAGGACAAAACTCCAATATTTCGTACCGAATAAACAAGGAGAAAAACTCTCTCTCATTCTTGGAAAGAAAATTACAGAGGAACGAAGAAACACGACGGAGGTCGGGAACGATGGACGAGGATTCGCTGATGGCGAGGCCTTCTTCTTCTTCTTCTTCTTCTTCTTCTAGAAGTGGGGCGATCAGTTCAGCCATGGGGTTGTCCAGCTTTGATTTTCAGGTGGGTTTCGTCTCTCTCTCTCTCTCTCTCTCTCTGTCTACTCTTCCCCCTTGAATTTCTCGGAATTGGGTCGTCGTCAATGGTCGTTACCGCAACGAACTGGTGCTGTTTATTTGCAATTCCGTGCGCTGAGCGAGCGGTGCTTACCCCGCAGCTTTTGAACGAGCGAGGTTGGAGGGACGGAGCCGGTCTCGGTGCTTCTGAGCAGGCAAGACTTAAATCTTCTTGATTCCTGCTTTTGTTATTGATGTGCTTTCATGGGATTTTGGGGTTAAATTGAAATTATGGGCTGTTATTGGTTTTCTGGGATTGGAAAGGTTGGATTGGATATCCGTCGGTTGTGTCGTGTTTCCGGCATTCTTCCGTTTGTTTGAGCTCTTTGGACAGGGGTTGGAGACTTGAGTTGCTTTGGTGAAGCAGTTTGACATCGATTGTAGCTTCTGGGTGGAAGCTTCCAGTGGTTGCCTTCATTGCTACAAGGAAGGACTATATGCAGTTAAAAGAGATTTGAATCTCGAACATTTGTAGGCGTTCGTGTTTTCAAGGAAAGAATTATGGCAGTGTGTGAATGGATAGGAAGTTCTGAAGTTAGAGTAAAGCAACTGAGGTTTTATTCATTGTGAATTTGTTCGTGTTAAGTTTTTCTTCCTCTGCTGCTGTGGTCTCTCCTTGTAGCAGCCATGCAGTGGGAATTGGGTCTTTGGTTGTTTCGAGCGTCAGTGATCGAAATGAGGTTATCTATCTCTCAGTTTCATGGGTGACTGTGGTGCATGAGACCGCTAGTGATGCTGCGCAATTTTGAGAAGCAAGTGTGAAATGATAAAAAGAAATGATCAATTAAAAGCATCATTACAAAACTTGCCTATCTTTTTTGCTTATAGTGTCAATGGCTGTGAGGTACTCAATATGCCATAGCGTCGCATATGGTGTAGTTATGGTTTTTTAGCACATTACATAGATGAGAAAAAAATAAAGCTTTTGAGTGGAACACATTGCCCACTAATGAGAAAATTAAACGAGAATAAGAACTTATTACTGTGAAATAGCTGCATTTTTTTTTGCTTTTGTCTTTATGATAATTTCTGTGTGGATTTTCCTTCTTAAGCAGGCATCCATAGGTAGGGAGTCAAACTCATTGGCCAGGTCTGCAGAAGCCATCGACTCGTCGAATAGAGGATTTCAGGTAGTCTCTATTCCTCTCTCCCTTTCCAGGCCCCTAGCTGCACCCAGCATCCCCAGACCTATATATTCTTTTCAACTTTTCTGCTTCTGACTATCATATTTACGTTTTGATCTTGTACTTAAGCGCTTCCCCTTTGTGGCAGCTTCTCAAGAAACATGGTTGGAAAGAAGGTACTGGTCTCGGTGTGTTTGAACAGGTTGGTATCCTTTATTTTCAAGATTGATAGTTTTCTTAATAGAATTTTTTTTTGTGTTGAGTGAGATCAATGCAGCACGGATCTGGTTGGCCTGTTCTTTGTTTTCCCTGCTGGGTTGGTATATTGAAAGGGTTCTGATTATGTTAATGTTGTCGATTTTTCAGTATATCACTTTATGGGCAATTGAGTCGAGCTTCTTTGGAATCTCTTCATTTTAATCTCGAAAGGTTGACTTGCTTTATCATGTGCATAATGAGTTTGTTGGTTGCCACATGATCTGACTTGAGGAGACCATGTTGTACGAAATAGGGCAATTTGGGTATTCGTGATTAAAAGTCCACAGTTTAGTTCAACAAATATCAGTGCTTAGTAAAAAACAACAGGTGGTTCCTCTATTGCGATCTCCTATTTTTCATCTCATTCTTGCAGTTGGGGATATTTTCATTCCTTAGCTGAGTCTTTTTTTGAGTCAATATCTGGTGCATTTTTTTATTTCAACTGATTTTAGTGGAAATAGACTAACTTTCCATGCTGCTATCAGGGTCGATTGGAACCTGTTGAGGCACATTTGAAGAATAATAAGCGTGGCCTTGGAGCAGATAGAGGGAAGAAGAAAGTCCACTCTCGTACTGGTCGCTCAGACCAAAACGATGAAAATGTAAGTAGTCAAATTCTGGTAGGTTTGTCACTTATTTGAAGAAAAAATCCATTAGAATGGAACTGTCAAGTACTTATTCTTTTGGTAAAAGTCAGGCCAGAAGAAAAAGGATTGCTCTCGACTGTTAGACAGGACATGATAGATAGTAAATTTTAGCAGGTTTCTTGGACAACACGCAAGTAGCCAGTAGATAAACAACATTGTTTTGACCCTAAACAAATAAACAACAATGTGAAAGTTGTTGAGCTGTAGACAGATGAGGTGGAAGCCATAATGGATACGTGTGCCAACATGAGTGTGTTCTGCCATTTTGCATTCTCCTATCTATATCTAGACTCTTCTTCTGTTAAAAAGGACAACCTATGTGCATGGTTTAGAGAGTTCCCAAAAGTTGATTGGGATCGCCGTGGAGCTCAGTTTTTGAAGTGTAAAACAAGCTTAAGCCAATCTGTTCCCAAGCACCTGGCCACACTGGGTCAGAAAGAACCAGAGGACCGTTAGTAGTGAGGAATTTTTACTGAAATAGGCAGATCATACTCCACAATTTGCATTACCAATCCCATGAGCCTAAGGATCTGCTAGTATTTTCTGTATGGAGATTATCAGAGCCAGCATATTCATCACTTACACCACCGTATCTTTCGAAGTTGCTAAATAGCTGTTTTTTTGTTCTAGAGGACCACTATAACCTACTTTGTATCTCTAATGATGTCATACCAGTAAGCACATCACTGTAGCCTCGAGTGACGGCCTCTTATCTACCTCAATAGTTAAAGCAGAGAATTACCTAATGCTTAAATCTCTTTTGGCTCCGATGATTTGTATCTATACTCAATTGTTATGGTCGAAGTAGTTTGTTTCTATACTTTCTTTGTTCAAATATAAGTCATATCAGTAACAGGCAGGCCTTACTTGATAAGCACGAGTTTGTCCTTGTCCAAGCCTACACAGACGAGTTTTATTAGAAAGGTTTACCGCGTCATATCATCACATGTAGTGGGTTTCCTGTGGCTTCCACATGCTGCACTTGTGAATAGAAAGATCACTCCCACTGAAGATTAGCCCTTGAATTATTCAATGGGTCTCATGCTTGCCAATTGCTTATCAGAACATTCAATTTGTGGTCAGGAACAAAAACCACCGAAGAAGACCAAGGCACTCTCAAAAAAGATGAGAAAATTGCAGGAGCAAGAGCAGAGGTTGCAAGAGAAGGAATTTGAGCGGGCTTTCTTCAGGGAGTTTTGGCCAGACAATGTGTGATAGTGAAATCGCAGGTCCTTATTTTTTTTTAATTCTGCCATCCCCAAAGGCGACGTACATAATTGTTCTCACTCTTTAGGCATTTGTCATAATTGCATAGCCTTTATTTAGCAGTTGCTAGCCATGAGCGACGAACCATCCTGAGAGAGGCATGTCATGATGAGTCCACATCTTCGGTTACCACATAATTTTTCACGTGATACAGCACTGGGATTTTCTTTTCTTTTTTTGGGTAACGGGTGGGTCAATCATCATCAAGGTTGTTTCTGTACCCTGCCATTGTTGTAATTTTATTGTTACCTTCACTTTACAGTTGCGATGACGAGTTACCCTCTTCTTGCGTTCGAGCTTGTAAAGCCTTGTCCTTTGAACTTGTATCTCTTCTTGGGTTTGTCATACAGTGTGGGAGTTTGAAGCCAAACATCCCGAGGGCTTGATCTTTGGGGTCGCATGAGAAATGTCTGTCTGTATCATTTATGCCTTAGCACGTTAGCCCGTTTATGCTTTTGGAGGTATGCAGCAGGTCGAGGGTTCGCACTTACCAGATTATTTATTAGTGGATCAAATCTTCTGGGGTTGGCTCAAGGGTCATCTTTCTTTTATCAGAGGCATTGCTGCATGTTAATATCGGCATATTTGAACGTGTGATAAGACATACTCTGCTTTCGACATTGATTTATGACTCTCTCTGCTTGCCTTGGTCGCATGATCTTTCGGCGAGGTGCGGCGACCCTCGTCGGATCTCTCTATGGAGATTATGAGGCGACAGACAAAGTCCCTCCTTACGGTAGCGAGTCTACTAACTATTCAACTCCCTTTCTCTTTCTCGCCTTTTTTGGGGGATCCGTGCATGGTCGATGAATATTTGCAATTGGAGTTATAAGGAATATGTTATTAGAAACATCGCGGAACGAGAGGCTATGGAAAGAGAGAAGAATTCACCACAAATGGAAGTGCTGCACCCGGTGGTTCTTTCTTGTTGTAAGTGAAAAAGATCCAGAACTAATGAATAGTGAAAACGATTCATATATCTACATTTCATGCCCACTCGTTCTAAAAGGAAGATCATTCAAATTTTAATGAAAGTTTAACTCCAATTAGATCCATTCGACTGATTTAGACTGCACTTAGGGCTACATTCGGACTCCCACTCAACAAATCCGTCCATATACTAATAAAAAAGGACCAACATATATAATAAAGCCCACACAACTCAATTGAATAAAAAAAAATTCCAAGGACTTTATCATACATATACATATATTTGACATTTAATTAATAATGGGTTTCGTAATCTTGAAATGTAGGAAATAACCTTTTCGTTTTCACTTTCTTGTTAAAGTTAACGCATTATGTAAATTGTTTAAAATTACATGCAAATTTACAAGTCGTGAAGCGTTTTGGACTCGAAAAAAATAAAATTCCTATAGTTGCAAAAAATAAAAAATAAAAATATGAAAAGATATATATTTTTTCACTTAATATGATTATACAAATGGTTCCTGGACTTTGGTAAGATGTGTAATATGCTTCCTCAACTTTTGGTAAATATTCAATATGGTCCTTATACCCAATGTTATTCTTTAATTAATTGAAGTTTAGGAACACATTGAATATTTTCATATAGTCCAAAGACTAAATTGAAAATAAATCAAAAGTTCAGGTACCACATTAGACAAATTAAAAGTTTATATTGCACATTAAATTAAAATTTTAAAAATATATTGAATAAATTAAAAATTCGCGAATCACATTTCACATTTTATCAAAGTTCGGGATCATGTGTGTCATTTTTCGAAAAACGACCGTACACTCCGGCGGAATTAAGTGTCAAAATCGCTCTTTAATAAAAGAACCCGTTAAACCCTCCTCACCTTGCACTTTTTTTTGCTAAACAGAGATAGGCTCTCCCGCTCACCTCCGATGGCGCTCTGCACATCTTCCATCTCTCCCTGTTCGACCCTCCGACGGCAACCCACCCAATTCCCCTTCCTCCACCCTCCGCCCTCCTCGCCGCCGCCGACCTCGCTCCCCCGAATCGCCCGCTCCAATCCCCTCCCGTTCGCGCCGCTGTCCGCGAGAGCCTCGGCCCGCCGATCGGCGGCGCCCGTGCCGGCCGCTTCCAAGGGCGGCGGCGGCCCGGCCCGAGGCGGCGACGGGAAGAGCCCCGCCGCGAAGGAGCAGGCCAAGGCGGGAGGAGATGAGGAGGAGGGAGAGATGGTGGAGGTGGAGGAGGACCTGCCGTGGATACAGGAGAAGGCGCTCGACCTCGTGGAGTTCACCGGCTCCGTCACGCAGGCGATTCCCGGCCCTAGGGTCGGCTCCAGCTCCCTGCCGTGGATGCTCGCCGTCCCTCTGGCGTACGTCGGGATCAGCTTCGTGATTGCCTTCGTCAAGACGGTGAGGAAGTTGGGCTCTCCCAGAGAGAAGCGCCGGAGATTGGTGAGTTTCCCTCGGCTTTTTACCTGCTCGAGCTCGTCCCGACTCGTTCCGGGACTCAACTTGGTCGGTGTTAGGATACTAGCAGGGAATTGTAATTTGAGGATGTGGCGATTTTTTGTTGATCTCGTGCCAGATTATTTCTTCAGGTGAACAAAAATGCTATGCTGTGTAAATCAATTGATGAGCTATTTCAGAAGGGGACTGAAGTGCAGCCCTCTGATCTCGAGGGAATTGTGAAGAAGGTGAGACCTGTAATTCATTATTGAACATTGTCTGGCATCCAGTGCTGATCTTTAGTTCGAGAGGATGAATAGCCAGTTTGTTGGTGGTTGGAGTTTTGCAGAAGCTGCATTCCAGAAAAAGAGGAAAAGGAAAACCACTTCACTTGCATCTTTTTTTACTGCAAATACCTGAGTTTTTGTTGGTGCTGGAAAGATTAAAAATTTTCAATGTGAAGTTGTATAAAAGGATAGAATGGATTGGAAACATACAAGCCACCTGCTGATACGCTGACAAAGGATGGTTGGCAGGTTATTTTGCACATCGCCTTCTCTTCTTGCCACTAGACATTTTTGTTATTGTATAGGGATGTGTCGCCATAATAGACAAATCACGATTTATGGCATGACGGTAAGTACTTAGATACTTGGATCTTCTCCACACTCTAATTGCAGGCCAATTAATCCTTCTTCCCGATTTCGTGTGAACTTGTCGTTCTGAATTGCCCTTTGAGGAAGGGTAATATCAATTTGTTATTGTCATTTTAAACGTTGAAGAATCTTTTCTAAGTGGATGTATTTTGCTTCATGCCATCAATATATGTCTTTTGCTTTATACCATCAATTTGTCGATCCTTTCTGGTAGATCTTTGCCCTTTTATACTTATATTTTCCACAAGCATACCGTCCTGAAGAACTGGACAGTCCCTCGTGCGTCCTTTCATGTGCTGCAGTCCTGGTTCGATATGATAACAACTTCCGTTCTATGTCCAGACAGGTTTTGGCATGGAGGACGTGTTGCGAAAGTATATCAGATATGCGCTGAATGAGAAGCAATTTAACCCAGAAGTAATTGCCAACTTGATACAGCTTAGAAAAGCTTCTATGTTGGAAGATTCTCAGGTTGCGGAGACTATCAATGACATCTCTCACCGCATTGTTCGTGACAAGGGTAAGATGATAGCATCATCCTGTCACACTTTTTGTTCAGCATAACTAAATCTTAGTTGCCCATATTTCTGCTCAAATCATATGCATCTTCACTTTATATTCTCTTCAGAATAGCACAACATAGGGACAAAACCACTATGTCGATTAAAATCAAGTTTTTCTTTCTAATCAGATATATTACACTGATTATATCTTGTTTTTGCTTTTCCAATAAGTTACACTGATGACATCTTGGTTTCAGGCCCAGTGGTCATGAACATGGCAGGGTATTCTGAGAAGGGTTTCAAGAGGAAACTTGCTGTGCAAGCTCTTTTTGGGAAGGTCTTCTATTTGTCTGAGGTAAGCTGCCAAGTAACAGTTCTTACATATATTCCTCCACATTGGTCAAACTTCTTTGATGCTACTAGGAGTCTTCGTATGGTTAATCTGTTAAGATTGTTTGGATGGATCTTTCATGAAAAGTTTGGATAGATTTATGACTTCACTGCTCTGAAATTTCATTGAGTAGAGGGGTTGCTTCTTTGGCATGAGATTGTGCTGGGTGAATGGAAGTTTACTTTGTGGGGCCCGAATAGAAGTTCATCAACTTTTTTATAGTAATGAGCATCTTTACCTACCTATATAAAATGTTATTTATAAAACAGCTGTGGTTGAGATCTTTTTGCGTTTAGTTTTTGAATTGATCCCAACTTTTTCACCTTTTTGAACAGTTGCCAGAGTTTTGTTCACAGGATAGCTCCTTGATAGTCAAGGAAATTTTTGGGGTCGCAGAGTAAGTTCTTTGTCTTATAATCTTCCTTTTTCAAGTTAAAATCTTTGAAGCAGCCATCATTATAATCATAACTTGTCTTATGGTAATCGAAACTTAGTGGAACTATGTGTTAATCTGGGATCACAAAAAAAAGGGAATATGGCACAAATGGTCACTAAACTTTGGTGCAATGTGCAGCGTTATTCCTGAACTTTTAATTTGTTCCATTTGGTCCTTGAACTTTGGTCCAATGTGCAATGGCATCCCTTAACTTTTAATTTGTTCGTTGTGGTCCTTGAACTTTTAAACATTTTCATATTGTCTAGGGACTACATTGAACATTGGACCAAAAATTAGGGACCACATTTAACAAATTAGAAGCCTAGGGACGACATTGCACATTTGATAAAAGTTCAGGGACTACGCTGCACGTAGTGAAAGCTCACGGATCACATTAAGGACTATTTATGTTATTATTTCCAAAAAAAAAAAAATCAGCGGTATGAGAATGAGGTTTGACTCGTTTCTTTTTTTTTTTTTCTATCAATCAGCGAAGATGCCGACAAGCTTCGATTGCACACCCTCTCTGAAGCTGGGGATTTGGATTCGCTGGAGAAGATGGTCGACGATTCTGATTCAGAAGATTCAGAGGAAAGTCCATCCGGTTCTCCTCAACCAACTTGATTTTATAGCAGCTGGACTTGATATGTAACTCTTGACTCAGTTTCGGGGTCGGTCCTTGCCTGTGGGAATCCTTGGTTCAGCACACCCTTCCACCTCCTGAATTGTCTGAAGAAAAAACACGGAAGGAGGATGAAGGGATTTTCTTCATGTGGCAGAAATTGCAAAGGTTTCATTCTAGATCTCCTTTTGGAGCTTTTCCTGTCCAGAAATTTTGGGGAGTTCAGAGTTGTTTGTTTTCCTTTTGTTTTTTCTCGTAGTGTTTTTTTAATGTGATACAGGTTCAGCGTTCGATTTTGGGTTGTGACTGCTTGTTGTACCAAGATAGTAACACATGGAATCTTTAACAAATAAAGAGATTTCATTTGACTGACAGCAGAAAATTTCGAAATTCTGCGGTTGTTCTCTTCTGTCCGTGAGCGAGTACTTGTTAATGGTCGCCCACCGGGCTGATGCCTCGGTCAAGACACATCGGTTCAGGCCATGGCGAAGTGCCATTGCTATGGCTCTAGTAAAGCTTCGTCCGGAATCGACATAATCTTTGTTGTTAACGAGACTTTCCATAGCAAAACAAGATCGATACGATACAAATTAGGTAAAAGTTAAGAGTTTTGCAGTACACCGTTTCTCGAGCGAGGTGTTGTGTACTTTTTAAATTGATTGTTTCCGAATTGAAACAATTCATCGTTATTTTCACCTTTTCCTTCGTTAGACTCGTCGTTTGATTTGTGTACCATTTTCCTGAAAACTACGTAAAATGAGGCATCCGGTGCGAGCCTCTATAATCTCGATAAGCGCTGAACTCGAGCTCGCCTCGACTCGCACGTTCCGTATTTGAAATTTGACCCGAGCTCGATCAAATAATAATTTAACCAATCAAATTCGAGTTATAGGAAACTTTTTTTTTTTGGGTTGCCCCTTTTTGGGGACAAGGCCGTGAGTTGGGGATGCAGCAAACAACAATAAAACGTGCATCGTCATGCCAGTGGATCACCAAAACCCATTTGAAAGTGGCCAACGACTTCCATCCTCCCGGCGGAGTCCTCCATGCAAATGCAACGTCCCTCTCTCTCTCTGCCGCTTAGCTAATCTCTCTCTCTCTCTCTCTCTCTCTCTCTAGCTCTGCGCATTTCATCCCGTACTCCGCCGATCCAATTCTTCTCCGATCGCCATTCCAATCCCAAATGCTCCGCCAATCTCTCTCAAAACCTCCCGCCTCCGTCGTCCCTCTCCCGCCATGCCCCCCCTCCCGTTCCCGCAACCGCCGCCTCCCCTTCGGAGCCCGGTGCGGCGCCGAGCCCGCGGCCCCCCGGCCTCGCCTCGGTGCCGGGCCGCCGCCCTTGGCTGATCCGCCGCCGCCGCTGTCGTCGGCGATGAAGCTGATGGAGCCGGCGGCGTCCGCGACGGCCGGGCCGTATCCGGGGGGCAAGATGGGGTCGTACACGGGGAGGGATCCCGGCGTGAAGAAGCCCGGGTGGCTGCGGCAGAGGGCTCCCCAGGGGGAGAGGTTCGACGAGGTGAAGGACTCGCTGTCCCGGCTCAATCTGAATACCGTTTGCGAGGAGGCTCAGTGCCCTAACATTGGGGAGGTATTGTTTCTTTCTTCCTGTTTTGTTCTCACGGTCATGTATAGTGTGTCATTAGCACGATTTCGCGGTTAGTGTAGACCGAAATTGATGAGTACATAGTGCAGTAACGGCTTCACGAATGCATCACAGTATCATAAGCTGGAAATGATGATGTGTGGAATGTATGTGGCAGTGTTGGAATGGCGGAGGAGATGGTATTGCCACTGCCACGATCATGCTTCTCGGGGATACCTGCACCCGTGGCTGTCGGTTTTGTGCCGTCAAGACTAGCCGGAACCCTGCGCCGCCTGATCCAATGGAACCGGAAAATACTGCGCAGGCTATAGCAAGTTGGGGGTAGGTGTCCAGCACTGCATTTGGACTTACCTGTTCTGTAGAAGTTGGTTATTTATGGCTAGATGTATGTTCTGCATTGAGCTCTATCATAGTGTACACTTCAGTAATAGTAGGAAAAAGTAGCATTCTAGGTCCTTGAGATCTTTTCTGTACTATCATGCTTCCTTGCAAGGCAGTCGCTCTGACTGCTAATTACAGAACTCTGTTGTTGTTTATGTTGTATTGCTCGAATTACTAATTGCCCAGGCTGGCAGTAGATCCTTTTGCACTACTACTGAATTTTGGCTTGGGGTGCGGTTCGGTTAGTGTCAAATGGCTTTGCCAATGACAACTATGAAATATCATCCTAAAAAATCTGTCACAGCCTGTATCAGTGATCCACAGAGGAGGCAGTACGAGAGAGAAGAAGCACAAGGAAAAGGAATGCAATGTTTTAGGGACTTTCATTGCTTCTATGGGAACAGAAAAGGAAGAAGAGGCACAAGGAAAAGGAACGCAATTTTTTTAGGGACTTTCATTGCTTTTCTGGGAACTAGTGTCTGGCACTGCATTTTCACGATCTGTGTTACCCCTTATCTTTTTATGTCTCTTAATATCTACACATTCTATGCTGCATATTTTTTTTAATTCAGTTGTTAACAAGCTGATGCCAATGTGTCTTTTTTTGCTTCTTTTGGAGAGTTTTAGCTGACTGGTTAGTTGACAAATTTTACCTTTTTTGGTTATGTGATTTTTTCCTCTTGCGTTTGTTTTAACTCATCTTGTGTTCCTATTCTTGCAGAGTGGATTACATAGTCCTAACAAGTGTTGATCGTGATGATATACCTGATGGTGGAAGTGGTCATTTTGCTCAGACTGTCAAGGCCATGAAGGTGCAATTGTCTTAAGAAGGCTCTTTTAGGTTTTTTTAGCTCTCTGATTTACTAGACCCATGCCGAAATTGAAATAAATCATATTGATGAGTGGTGACCTCTTCTGCAGAAGCTCAAGCCAGAGATCATGGTCGAGTGTTTGACATCTGATTTTCGGGGTGACTTAACTGCCGTAGAGACTCTTGCTCACTCTGGATTGGATGTTTTTGCTCACAATATTGAAACTGTGAAGCGGCTTCAGCGCATTGTCAGAGACCCTCGTGCTGGGTAGGTTCCCAAGTTTAAATGAATAATAATATGGGTCAATCTTCAAGGAAAGTTCTATCGTTGTGCCAAATTTACCATACACATGATTCATATCATGAAGCATTTAAAAATTAAGTCAGCAGATAAATGTACAGGTTCGGACAAAGGTACTGGCTCATTCATTTGTTGTCGAAATTGCATCTTGAAGAATCTATACCCTCTTTTAATTCTAGTTACATTATTTCCGCATTTGACTCCCCATTATTTAAAAGGCGAGATCCTTCACCCAAGTTAATCCGCAGATCTTTTATTGCCGCTTTCTGAGATGTAGAAAAAAAAATCAGCGCTTTGATTTTTAGAGATGATGTTCTCTGCTTTCATGTTCATAGATCTTTTGCTTGTTGAGGTCTGTCCTAAACAATCGATGCATTAACACGCGAAAAAACAATTGCTTGCGTATTTTCCATTATCTACTCAGTGACTTAGCAGTGTGGATCACTGACTTCCAATCAGAGCTTCCTTCGTTGGCAATTCGTATCTGTGTTGTTTTGTGCCCTCTTTCTCCCATCTATCCAACTTCTGATAGTCTGACTTATGTGCAGAAGAATCCTTGTCTAATCGTTTTATTCTTGATCTTACAAAGAGCCTCCAATGGGCCCTAAAAAAGTCTACTTACAAATAGATATCGTCTTTAACCCTGAAAAAAGTACCTAATGTATATTCATGCGAAGGACACTTTCTTGAGCTCGTTTGTCACTTGTTAGTGAGAATCGCTGATAATGTTAGTCAGGACCAAGTTTTCAGGAACAGAGTAGAAGCACTTATAATTGTTGGAGAACAAATGACATCATTACTTTTTATTTTATATTCAACCTATTAGAAAAGGTTTAGAGATTTGAGTGGACAAATTAAAAGGTCAGTACCAAAGTCTATATCAAACTAAAGTTTATGAACTGTTCATGTCATCATACAGAGTATTTGTTAATTATCCATGAGTAGAATTGAGTGGATGATGGTCTCAGAGTTGCTGCTTTATAATGTCCATGCCATCTTGCTTGTTCTGAAGTGCTTTACTAAAGATCATTTTTGGGGTGGGCATTGGTTAACTTATCATTCCATCCAAGTAAGGTTTCTCTGAAAAAGGAAAAACGAAATAAAAAAAGAAACAAAAATTTAAAGAAAAAGGAAAGATTGCCTTCTGTGTTTTTCATAACTTGGGGTGTGTTTCTGCGGCGCAGGTATGAGCAAAGCCTATCAGTCCTAAACCATGCAAAGTTGAGCAAGGAAGGAATGATAACAAAATCTTCTATAATGTTGGGCCTTGGAGAATCTGATGATGAGTTGAAGGAAGCCATGGCTGACTTGAGGGCAATAGACGTTGATATCTTGACGCTTGGACAATATTTGCAGGTATGCCCAAGCTGCTCTGCCATGTGCCCGACCTTTTCTCTTGAGAGGGTGATGCGTATTAGATAGTCATCTCCAGGAAGCGCAGACGAGTCTACCTAAAATGCCTTTTGGTTATAATATAGACTGCTTATGGATTTTGTTCACTTATTAATTTGTCAGACCTTCTGTTTATTCCGATCTTTTTTATGACCGAGGCCTTCTGGTAATTTCAGTAATCCAATTCTTGCAGCCTACTCCACTCCACCTGACAGTAAAAGAGTATGTAACCCCAGAGAAGTTTGCTTTCTGGAAGGAATATGGGGAGTCCCTAGGATTCCGATATGTAGCCAGTGGTCCACTGGTAAGTACTCTTTGCCATTCGGGAGGACATTGGGCTCCTTAAAATGTATCTTGTGGTTTCTAACTATATTTGCAGAGAGTTAAGAAAATGACACCCTACACTCTATTCTCTCAAATTTTTTTTTTTGTTAGAATTTTGTATTCTCTCCGTTTTTCTGTTCTTATGGTGGTAATGGGCCAAAGAAAGGTGTGACCTTATTGATCAGTATTCAATGTGGCCAGCCAAAGTTTATCGATCAGGATTTTACTACTGATGTTTATTCTCTTTCTCAATATCTGTTTCAGGTCCGATCCTCCTATAGGGCTGGGGAGCTCTTTGTGAAGACAATGGTGAGAGAAAGGTCCAAGGCTAATTAATGACAGTGCTGGATTTTCTCAGTAAAATCATCGCCCTTATTGGTAGACTTAGATACTGAATTACTGAAGCAAAGAGCAACTACTGAAGGAACAGATATCAGTTTCAAGAAGTTCCATGAATCAGGGATATTGATTGAAGACCTGGTAGGACCGCCTGCAGACTTATTTTCGCAGTTCCTGTGAATATTAAGGTTATGAGGATTTCAAAGTCAGTACCTGGTTTATTTCAGTGAGGTTCTTTATTTGTTGTTTTCATGAATTATACTTGCATTTAAAAGGGGAAGCTGAAAAATTCTTGACAATGAATCGATTTTCTCTCTATTTGATTTTATGTATGGATTCTGGTTTGAAATTCAAAGATATTGAAGGCAACAGAAGTTTAGTTCCTTTCTTTCATCACTGTGTTCTCTTTAGGGTCTGATGTTTCCATCTTGTTCTATGTTCCCTACTCCATCTCTTGTAACTGGTGATTGAACAAATTTAACAATTTTGATTTTGTTTTCTTCTACTCTCACTCTGTTTAGATTTAAGAAGTTAATAGTTAGATAGTCACGTAGGGAGATCGGTACAAAAGCTAATGCTAGTAGCAGCAGAAGCATCATTTCTCATGGTTGATCTGCGGCGGGATCTGCATGTGCTCATCGCGAAATAACAAATTTATTCTGCGGTAGTCGTTGATGGATCTATACTGCAAATACCGTAGGTTGCTATTGAGAAATCTCCACACAAGTGGCTTACGTCGCCCCATGATTTCATTGATAAAAAGAGCATCTCCCCGACACATCGAGGACGATGAAGGTCACTTGCGGAGACTTTTCTTTTTCACTGTTCTCTTCTTTTTCACCGGTGGTGGTGTCATGTAACCGACCCACAGGAAAATGAGCGAAGAAGACCTTTGTCCCTTTGGTTTTGGTCAGTGAAAGTTCGCACGACTTGGGGAAAGTTGCAGACAACCCACTGGAAAAGGACGATCCGCACCCAGGAACGAAAACCAGCTATACCACCTATGAATCTATCATCACCTCCACCTCGGGGTTGCTACATGGAATTCCTTCCCTGTTTTTGCGCTAAAAGCTAAGCTTATAGGACAGTCTATATGTATATATCCCATGTTACTTGAGAAAATAGATGTGTGTAGTGTTCGTAACAGCGATGAACTTATTGCAGACCGTTGATCTTTTCACCACTAGACCAATCACCTCGGCCATCCTCCGACATTGAACTTAAAGTCAACAGTTGGGCTATTGGTACGTATATTTTGTTGTGGGGATGATGATGACATAAATAGTCATGAACTTTGATCCAATGTGTAAATTTTAATTCCATGTACAATAGCGTCCCCGACTTTTTAATTTGTTCAATGCGATCCTTAAATTTTTGGCGAATGTTTTAATTTAGCCCATGGATTGTATGGAAATATTTAATGTTGTTCTTTGATAGGAGGGACAATATTAAATAATTTCATATAATCTAAGGATTAATTGGACATCTACTAAAAGTTTATGGATCATATTAAATAAATTTAAAGTTTGGGAATCACATTAAATATCGAGCTAAAAAGTTTGGGGGCCATTCAAGGTTAACAGAACACGTTACACATCGGTATCAGACCATTCAAAACAAAAAGAAAGAGCGGAGAGAGAGAGAGATGTGTCTACTTTAGTCGGTCAAAGAAATATGCCGCTGCATATTCCCTCCGCCGCTTGATTCCCTTTCGCGAAGGCGGTCTCCTGTGTTTCAAAAGTAAAACCAGGACTCCAACCTGCGACCCACCAAGTGCTGTCTCCACCAACCAGCCACGTGCTCTTAAATCTTTCGCGTTTTGCCCCTCTCTCTCTCTATCACTCTTCTTTTCCTTTTCTTGTGAACCGAAAACCTTTTCCTCTCGCGAACGAATTAAGGTAAATCTATCTTGTTTGCGAATTGTTCTGAGCAAATTTCATATCGGGTGTCCAAATGTATGTTTCCAAGATCCTCATGCCACGCTTGAAAAGAAAATGCCTTCTCGTTGCTTAAAAAAGACCAACTTGGCGAAGGCTCGACATTGATAGCGAGACAGCGACGTCCCACAAAATCAGTCATTCCCCACCCCATCTCATAATCCCTCTCCGCACATCTCACGTTGTACAACTTTTACTTTTGAGACCCCAGAGAGAGAGAGAGAGGTAGGTTTGTGAGATATATTTAGCTTCGGTTTGGTAGCAGCGTGCGAGAAGGCGACAGCTTCTTGCTCGCGTGTGGGGTCCTACTTGCATCGAGGAAGGTGAGTCTGAGAAAAACAAGAGAAAGTTTTTCCGTCGCTTGAAGCCTTAAAAATTCAAGCTTTTCTCATTTCCAGCCTCTGCTTCTTGATCTGAAACCTCCGCGACTTGTTTTGACTGTGTAAGCAGTGAACTGTCTTGTGGGGTCGATGCTGTTGATTTCTTGCGTCTGCTGGTGGTGCTGAGCTTTTGGTTCTCTGATTGATCGTTGTCTTTCTTTTTCTCCTTCCGGGACGTTTGTTTCTTTCTCTTTGAGGCTGGATCTGTCCGAAATATTTGTTCTTTTGGTTGGAAATTGTGTTGGTGGATGCTAAAGTTTGAATCTTTGGACATCTTGGGTTGTTCTGTTTTGCCTCGAGAGAAGAGCAAGAATCCGCAAAAATACGATCTTGAGATTGCTGATTTGTTTCCTTGCCAAGCTGTGAGAGAATGAGGATATGGGACTTTTTCTGTCAAAATGATGCATTTTTCTTCTGTCTTCCAAATTGATTTGTTACCAAGCAAATTTGCAACACTTTCTTGATCAGATATACTCAATCGAAAAGATGCCAGATACTTTTTGAGGCTTCCCATTTGAATTAGCTTTCTGTGTTAACTGGTCCAGAAATCTTACTTGCAGATAGAGAAGAATTATTGTCAGTGAAATGGCAAACATTGATATTGAAGGTATATTGAAGGAGCTTCCGAATGATGGACGCATCCCCAAGACTAAGATTGTTTGCACTCTGGGTCCGGCTTCTCGAACGGTGCCAATGCTGGAGAAGCTTCTTAGGGCGGGGATGAATGTTGCTCGGTTCAATTTCTCTCACGGTACTCACGAGTATCATCAGGAGACCTTGAACAACCTCAGGATCGCAATGCATAACACCCAGATCCTCTGTGCCGTCATGCTTGACACCAAGGTCTGTCACCTCTGACATGATGTTTGCCTTCGGCTATTAAGTTGACTAAGCTCATGATCTTTACATGCCTGGCTGCGATATCGTCACTGCTTCGTGGTTGGGTCTGTGGTATGCTTTGGTTTTTGCCATCACTCGGTGTTGTTGATTTGACTTGGCATTCTTTAATGTTGTGTTATTTGCATGTCCAGTAATATATGGCCACGATTGTTCCCATGCGAATCTTGTTCTCCAAGTTGAGATCTATGTTTAATTTTTTCATAGCGTTTGAATAGAGAACTCCTATAGCACCATCTGTGTGGCATAATGAGACCGTTGTCATGTATCAGGCATAGCTTCGTGCATGCTTGTTGCACTCTTTTGCATACTCTGAGCCATTCTCTTCTTAGACAAAACAAGACTATCCTGTGGGAGCTAAATTAGTCTTTTTTGAAGGATTAATAATCCTTTAACATTGACTTACAGTCTACTTGGCACAAATTTTATCCAGTAAAGTGATCGTTGTTGTGGTTTTTTAAACAGTTTGGACTATGACTGAAAATATTCTACATAAAAGGTAATCCTTGGTATTATCTCTACTTCTTTAACCTTTGACCTCTCAGCTCTCTCAATCTATTAGAGATTCAGTTTTTATTGCTTTCTAGATAGTTGTCTTTGTCCTGAATGAAATTGCTATTATGGGACAGATGATTCGTCACATGAGATTAATACTCTTATAGTGAATTGGAAATGTTGAATGGCAAGATATCTCGTGATAACACTTTGCTGGGTTGGTAGTGATAAATATATCGTGATATATTCATTTCTGCTCAATATATGTTAGTGTTTTTCCTTTGTCTAACCTGTCCGTATGAGACAGCCTACAAGATATTCTGTCGTTGGAGTTGGAGTTGATGGAATCTGGTCCAAGCTCTCCTGCATGCACCAAGAGTCTTTTCTGGCTGATATAGTTGGCATATGCAAGATGAAGCTGCTTGTATTTGTTCTTGTAATTTGAACTCTGATAATATGCTGCTTGCAAATTGATCTGCTTGAGACCTCGTCCTGATCTATTGTGGACTTAATGTGTTTGATGGATGTTTGTTGACATTTTATTTTACTTTGAAAAGAAAAAAATACATCTTGTAAATTGAACTGGAAGGGCCTTCCATCTGAATCGACAATTTCTTAATTGTTGTCTTCACGTGTGTTACGAGTAATCGTAGTTTCTTCCTAATTGGGTAATCAACACTGCATGAAGATGGAGTTCAGGACCCATTGTCATGTACTGTTGAAGATTGTCTGAGTTTGTTGATGACTAGTGTGTGGCGAGATATTCTTTGCTATTTCTGCTTAATATTGAATGCATGAAGAAAGCATAATCATTATGCGTGGTACCATTTTACTGGTGTGCATATAATCTTTCTTTTTCTTAATTTTGGTGCAGAAGTCTTTGAGTATTGTGTCACCTGGAATGACTACTTTTGACTGCATTTGGTTATGTTCTGCTTATGAGCAATTGTGGTCCAGATAAGTGGGATACGAACTTCAGAATGTTGTTGGGATTTTTTTTTTTATAATAGCAAAGCAATTACATAGATCATAGACACCACATAATTCTCATTTTATACGGTTAATGATTGTGCCACTAGAGCTTGGGGGAGGGTGTTATTTTGAACTTTGAGCTGGAGAAAACATGTGATCTGTATATCTAGCTCTCTCAGCCACACTAGGGTTGTTGGAGGCATTCCTTACTATATCTAGCTCCTCTCAGTTGACATGGGAAGCATTTGCTTCTAATTGCGCTCACTTTGAAGGACTAGTTTTTTCAAGACCATGATTTCATCAAAACACTGTAAGAGAGAGGGAAAACTACAGTACCAATTACAATTCTTGGTCTTGTCTATGAAGTCATCGCTACTGATTCATGATCCTTGGCGTTCTAGGCTTTCACATTTGAGGGTCGTTTCTTGTTCTACTTCTTCCAAATCATTGCTCTTGAATCAATGCTAACCAGACATATGTTGCAGGGTCCCGAGATTCGAACAGGTTTCCTCAAGGATGGAAAGCCTATTCAACTGAAGGAAGGCCAAGAAATTACCGTGACTACTGATTATACCATCAAGGGGGATGAGAATATGATCTGTATGAGCTACAAAAAGCTGGCTGTGGACTTGAAGCCCGGAAACACCATTCTTTGTGCTGATGGAACGATTACCCTCACTGTCCTGTCTTGTGATCCGGCCTCCGGAACTGTCAGGTGCCGCTGTGAGAACACCGCTATGCTCGGAGAGAGGAAAAATGTCAACCTCCCTGGTGTTGTGGTGGATCTTCCCACATTGACTGAAAAGGACAAGGAGGACATCCTGGAATGGGGCGTTCCAAACAAGATCGACATGATCGCTCTCTCTTTTGTCCGCAAGGGTTCTGATCTCGTTAATGTTCGGAAAGTTCTTGGCCCTCATGCTAAGCATATACAGTTGATGTCAAAGGTATGTACTGGCTAAAATAGTCTCTCAAGTGAAGCTTCTAGTACTTGAGTGCAGCCTTCCATGCGTTGTTGATTGTCTCAGGTCGAGAACCAGGAAGGAGTGATCAATTTTGATGAGATCCTTCGCGAGACGGACTCATTCATGGTTGCCCGAGGTGACCTTGGGATGGAGATCCCGGTCGAGAAGATCTTTTTGGCGCAGAAGATGATGATATACAAATGCAATATCGCGGGCAAGCCTGTGGTCACTGCCACTCAGATGCTCGAGTCGATGATCAAGTCTCCCCGGCCTACCCGTGCCGAAGCAACTGACGTGGCAAACGCTGTCCTTGATGGGACGGATTGCGTCATGCTCAGTGGTGAGAGCGCTGCCGGGGCCTACCCGGAAATTGCCGTGAAGATCATGGCCCGCATATGCATCGAGGCAGAATCCTCTCTCGACTATGGGGCCATCTTCAAGGAAATGATAAAGTCGACGCCGCTTCCAATGAGCCCGTTGGAGAGTCTGGCCTCCTCAGCCGTGCGAACAGCTAACAAGGCAAAAGCGAAGCTCATCGTCGTGCTGACTCGCGGCGGGACAACAGCGAAGCTGGTAGCCAAGTACAGGCCAGCCGTTCCCATCCTGTCAGTGGTGGTCCCGGTTCTGACCACGGACTCGTTCGACTGGCTTTGCAGCGACGAGACCCCCGCGAGGCACAGCCTTATATACCGTGGGTTGGTTCCTTTGCTGGCCGAGGGATCTGCCAAGGCAACCGATGCCGAATCCACAGAGGTGATACTGGAGGCAGCTCTCAAGTCGGCTACGTCGAAAGGGTTGTGCAAGCCGGGTGATGCCGTCGTGGCGCTCCACCGTATCGGGGCCGCGTCGGTCATCAAGATCTGCATCGTGAAGTGAAGGCGGAATGCGGCGAAAGAGGTCTGAAGCGGGAAAGATCAGCAGGTGAAGTGGGTTTGCATTTTGGTCCATGTCTTTTTTGATTGTTATTTTGTTTGAAGCCTTCTCTGCTCCTGCAAATGCCCTATTTGGAAGAAAATAGGCAAGAGTTACCTAAGTGGCCATTTAGTCTGCTCTTGCTCTTACTTTAGTTCGGCCCATATCGTGGATATTCACTTTGAATGAAAATAATTTAGCTTGATGATGATCATAGTGACATTATGGTCGATTTATAGTTCGGATAATAAAACAATGATCGATGAGCCGAATCGAGTTGAGTCGATACGTCCTCTGAATTGAGAGTGTCAATTTTGATGTTTGCTGCTCGGAGCTTCTTCGCCATTGTTGTAACGTGATGCGTGATTCGGCACAGCATGTCATCTCTATTGATTCGGGCACAACGATAAGTCGGTCCACATATAGTAGAACAATGATAAATTTGAAGTTTCGAGCGCATGTCTTTTTCTAGGACAATTATAAAAAAAAAAAGTCAAATTTATTATGTTCGTGTAAATCCAATTTTAAACATTTCAATTGGGTCAATGAAGTTTTAAACATTTTCACATTTTGCTAATTCAGTTCATTTGGTTAGTTTTGGTCTGAAATCGGTAACGTGAACGGGGGGCGCTGAGGCCTGTCGGACCCTCGCTGTGGTTGGCATGGGTGTCGCATCCCTCGCCTATGGCTGGCGAGGTTGGTCGGCAACTCTTGCCAGCCCTCAGTCCCAAAAGAAAATAAAAGAAAAAATAAAATCGAAAAATTTAAAAAATTATTGAGATACCGTAAGAAATGTCTACATCAACGTTGATTATCAATTGGCGTCTATGTCAGGAGATTTTGGCAAAAATTGATCGGATAGACTCAATTGGCAAAACGTGAAAATAACCGGAAATAAATTGACACAATTAAAATATTTAAGACTGAATTTGCACAAATATAATAGGTTTATGAATTTTTTGGTAATTCCCCCCTTTTTCCCTCATTTGCATGTCATGGATCTCCATAATCTTCCATTTAAATGTATTCGTTTGCAAGTTCAAGGCTTTTTTTATTTATTTATGCATAGTTATTTACGTGAGGAAATTGAAGATATCAATATATGTTGTGTCGACTGTATCAATTTACTATCTTTGATTTCATTAATAAGATGGTAACTTTACCTTGATTTTGAATGTTTATTTCTTTGTAAAACTTATGTAGGATTTATAGCGCAATATCTTCGCCATCAAACAAGGTAGCCCAGTGTTAAAAGGATCACACTATCTTTTATAAAGTCACCATTTCGAGCTATTTCATGAGTGAACTTTTGGCAAGCTTGTGCCTTGACCCGATGGTACCTCGTGTGAAGAGATTTTTTGACTTTCGGCATAGTAATGGGTTTGTACACTTATCACGGATGAATTAAATCTTAAATATCTTTGCAATGAAAGAAGGGATCATATTATACAAGATCCTTTAAAGGGGAAAGAATGAGATACTCCATATATTCACTAATTTGGAAGAAAAAGAAGGAAATTTAAGATTCTCGAACATGTGACGGACCGATTGATTTGGGCAAATGGAGATTTCGAATACACAAAAGGTTTTCACGGCGAGCAAAAGAACTTTTCTTTTCGATGCGAGGGGTTCGATTGTAAAAACTTTGTATATATGGATGGTGTTGCAAATAAGTTGGTATGTTGGGGGGCCTCATTTGCAATTAATCCCAAGAATTGCAGGTACAATTTTCCGTCTTGCATGTCATGACTCGTGATAGAGGACTTTAGAGGTCCCTTCAACTTTTAGTGGTAGGCGACCGCCATTCTCCATCGATCCGGGCATATTCGTTTTTTCGACTATTTATTCCGTGCACGGATAGTGAATCGAATAATACTTATGTCGGCAAAACAAGCGAATTTTTCTTAATATTTGCGCGTAAGAAAATTAATTTTATCGACGGTAAACGTAATGAAAATAAGATAATTTTCGAAATGAAATAGTACAATGTTCAATAGTCAAGCGCACCAAAATGTGGACTGGACTCTTTGGGACTCCTCACGTGTCTTGGACTTTTATATGCATGCAGAAGCAGATGCTGTGGACCAAAGTTTGCTTCAATTTGTTTAAGTGTTTGATCATTATAGAAAATGCCAAAAGATTGAGGACCACTTTTCAATGATTAATTCAAAGCATCTTTTTTTATTTTTATTTTTAATTTTCGGGACATAAAAGTGTGCGTGGGACAATCTCGAGTCGAGTTTTTTATTTTTTTTATTTTTTAATTTCTTGATATTTATTTGTAGGACACGTGGGAGCAACCCATCTCTTTCACGAGTGGTAAAGAGAAGCACGTTCGTGTTGTGGTCTTTTGTTCAAATTCAAAATGGGTACTGCTTTGTGTTGAAGGGTCAAATTATTTTTTGATTCTTTTCTTATGGGTCCGAGCTATTCTATTATCCAATCGATTGGCTTGATCCAAGGTCTCTCTATTAATTTCTGGCGAAAAAATAAACAGCGTCATTTTTCACAATTGGTATGTTTAGGGAGCGGGACTCCCTATCTCTACATCTGCCTACTCATTCATGCTTCTATGTGTGCAATTTTATTTAATTAGCTAGTAAATCATTGTGCTACACATTTGAGATCTTTGAGGATCAACCCCACAAGTTCATGGGCAATTTAATGATAAAGCGTCACTTCACTTTGGTGATCAATTCTTCTTCTTTTTTTTGGTGGTCAAAGTACTTTGGTGGTCACTTTGACTCACATCAACCTCTTTGGGCTTTTGTGGTCCTCCGTGAAAAAGGCACTATCATCATTCAACAAGCTTTGGAGTTATCTAATATGGTTGTGTGCTTCTTTTCCTTCTTTTTTTTTTTTTTTATCCATTAGCCACAGAAAAATTATCCAATCTATCGTACGGATGTCAATTTCTAATTTTGCCAATTTGATCTTTAATCTTTGCGCGAAATTTCAGTATAGTCATTCCGACCAATTTCCGTCAAAATAATTGGACAATTTCCTTTGGTGACCGCCATAGCTTTGAAGTAGAAGGCTTTTTGTGTTGGGAATACGAGAGAGAGAGAGAGATCTACTCAAGATTTCAACTTTTTGGTCTTCTCCTCAGTATTGTCATCACTCACTCATGCATCCAAATGTTCAAGGAGGAAAAAAAGGAAAGAATTTTCAGAAAGACGCCTGTTTTTTTAGGGACATCTCTTATAAATGATATGGATAATGATTACTAAATGCAGGGTACAGAGGGGATGATATAGTATCGCTATTCATCAATGACCAAACTTTAATTCCCAAAAATATAAAAAAGGCAAGATGGGATTATGCCGTATACACGATCTCTTATCCACTTTCCATCTTCACTCATCCTTCCTTATGCCTATTATCTTAAAAAAAAATTGAATTCAATTTTTCAAATTTCAAACTGAATTTCCTCAATGCTTTCCCTAGAAAACTAGGACTCTTTAATGTTCCACGTTAGTGTCTGCTTCTATATATGGTTGGACGTTATCATCTCACAATCATATATATTCAAATTGCACGTGGAAGGAAAATAAGCTTTTTCTCGCGTCGTGCACGCCATGTCGATTTGATTTGACCCGAGTCTGTCCTACAAAAGCAAAGCTCTTTTATTTCAACGGATAAAATAGAATTTCGGACATTAGCTTGATCTTTCTATTTACTCGGAATTATATTGGAATAGTAGTCATTAAGGGAAAAAGACATAAATTGTCCATAAATTATAGCCTAATGTGCACTGCAGTCCCTGAACTTTTAATTGGTACAGTGTGGTCTATGAACTTTAGCTCAATATGCAATTTCGCCCTTGAACGTTCAATTTGTTCAATGCAATTTTCGAACTTTTGACACATGTCCAATCCCAGTCCCCAAACCATATGGAAAATGTTTAACGTTGTCCCCAAACTTAAATTCACGAAAGGGTAAGACCGAGCATTTTCGTATAGTCCGAGGACTAACTTGAACGCGTACCTAGAAGTTTATGGACCACATTGAAATAAATGGGACGACGTTGCACATTAAACTGAAGCTTAAGTCTGCATTACATATCGAATCAAAGTTTAGGTGACCGTTTGCATCGCTCCGGTGGATCCGAACAATTAAGGAAAGTGTGTCGAATTCAATGCAAGTACAATGATGTCCCTCGTGGATCACGTCTTGCGGGCTTATCCGTTTCGGAGTAACCCGCAATATCATGCTTGCAGATCGCGCAGAGCAGAGCAGAGCAATCCTCGTCGGTGTTATTTCCGTAAATTGTCTACCCCTCTCAGCGAGAGAGATTGCAGCCTATAAATAGTCGACGCTAGTCCTTATCACGTTTCAACGCTGGTTCCCTTATCCCCTGTTTCGAAGGGAACAGAATTATACTCCTGCAGAAACAGAGAGAGAGAGAGAGAAACAGAGGATCGTGGTGGTGGTACTGCTGGTGGTGACGACGATGGCGAGGGGGAAGTGGAGCGATGTCCTGCTTCTGGCGGTGCTGTTCGCGTGCCTGTGGCGGCCGCTGGCGGCCGGCGGAGCTCCGGGAGGCGGGTCGAAGGCGAGGGTGCACTTGAGGTCGTCCAAGTACGTGCACTACCAGCAAGAGTACCGCAGGAACCTCCTCGCCAATGGCCTCGGCCTCACTCCTCCCATGGGGTACTCTCTCTCTCTCGCTCTCGTGAGGATGATCGATTCCGCGATCTGCTTTACGACGTAATCTTTGTGTTGAATGTCTGTTCCCGAGATATTTTGGGTGAATCGGTGCGAGTGCGATTGGGACTGTGCAGAGTGTCTGCTCTGTTTGTCCTTTTGTGGGGGTGTCATTCACATTATTTGATGATCGATGCTGTGATGGCCGACCGCACCACTCAGCTTTACTCTCCGTGATCCTCGAGCTGTCATCAAATTGTCTGCTTCTCGATCTATGATTGTAAACATTATCCCGTTCTTCGTCGGAAACGGTGAATCCCCCTGCTCATCTGCCTCGGCAAAAGGACATTTGTATACTCCATCCCGGAACGGATCTTCGCGTCGTAACACAAGAACAGCTCGCTAGATATATTGACATATGCTTGATATTCTTGAGTTTTAATATTTTCAAATTTATCATTTTAAACTTTGTTGGAAAAAAGTTGATGGGTATTTTTGCTTAAAAAAGTCATTTTTTTTTTTGGGTGAACGCTTGTTCATTTCGGAACATTGCTAAGTGCGCTGCGGCAGATCGGATTCGAACGACGTCGGATGGAGCATATTTATCCTTTTGTCCTTTTTCAATTATGTGTGCTTCTTTTTTTTTTAAAATTATCTTTCTTGTAATATTTTCCTGTTTCTTTCCCTCAGATGATAAACACATTCTCATGATGTTTTCGTTTCTCGTGTATGCAGGTGGAACAGTTGGAATCACTTCTCGTGTACGGTTAATGAAACGATCATCAGAGAGACTGGTTCGTGTTAAACATTAGTTTCTGCTAAAGATGGCTCATCTCTTTTCTTATGGGTTCATGATCAAACTGTGTAAATTACTTCCCATGCTTGTTGAGTTCTTCAGCAATGGCTCTTCTCTATCATGCGGACTTCAAATTATATTTCTCGATACAGTTGGAAACTAGTCTTCTTCTTCATAACGATATCGATTAGCTCGCAATAGTATAAACCATTGTTTTTTTCCGTTTTTACACGCAAGTGACTAATGTATACTATTATTACTTTACTTCTTTTAGTTTTTCCAGCCTATGTTGCTTGGGCATGAATAAGTAGTCCACAGTTCGGATTCTGAAAACTAAATTAATGTATTATGAGGTTAAAACGCTATTAAGGATGAACATAGCTTCTTGAGCTTAAGCATTTTGACATATCCGGGTTTGTTTTTCCAGCTGATGCTCTGGTTTCTACTGGTCTTTCAAAGCTGGGCTATGAGTATGTCAACATAGGTATGCTCCAAGAACTTACTTCCTCTATGTTTTCTAATGGCCCGTTCATTGTCAATTGCTCTATGGCCCTAATTGGTTTTTCTTTTCAGATGATTGCTGGGCTGAGATAGCACGTGATTACGATGTAAATCTTTTTTTATCCTTTTAGGGCTTTGAACACTGTAATCAGGAATGTTTCAGAACTTGCATTCTAATTGTGCTCGACTCCATGACATAACAATGGCAGGGCAATTTAGTAGCCAAGAATACAACGTTTCCGTCTGGCGTCAAAGCTCTTGCCGACTATGTTCACAGCAAGGGTTTGAAGCTAGGAATTTATTCGGATGCCGGGTACGACACCCTGCCGTGATTGCTACGGGAATTACTGATATATTTGATCGTCAATCGATTGTTCTATTGATACTTAAGTTGACGGATTTGTTTCCTCGATTCAGCTATTTTACCTGTAGCAAGACCATGCCTGGATCACTTGGTCGTGAGGAGCAAGATGCCAAAACGTTTGCAGCTTGGGTTTGTCTCCTTGCCTACCTAAGCATTCTTTATTTTAACTTCAATTAAGATGTTGTAGATGCAATTTTTGACAGGAGTTATCCTTTCGATCACAAAACATAATGAAGGATTTGCATGATTTCTCCAGGGAATTGATTATTTGAAGTATGATAACTGCAACAACGGTGGCACGAAGCCAACGGTCAGGTAACAGATAGACTAAGAGTAGTATTATTCTTAATATTCTCAAAGAAAGTTATATTTGAGTGCTGATTTAATTGTGTTTGATCAAGTTAAATTTGAGTGCTGATTCAATTGTGTTTGATCATGTAGATACCCTGTAATGACCCGAGCTCTGATGAAGGCCGGCCGCCCTATTTTCTTCTCAGTTTGCGAATGGTAAACTACTTGGAAGTGAGCTGTATCATTTTTGTTCTTGTTCGCATTTTTACTTCATTACTTAATTTTTCGGCTATTAGGGGGGATTTGCACCCAGCTCTATGGGGCGCCAAGATAGGGAACAGCTGGAGAACAACACAGGATATTTCTGATACGTGGGACAGGTTTTTGCTTTCAACTCGCTAGTGTTTTTTTGCTGTTTTTTCGTATGATTACTGTAAAGAAGTTTACCCGTGGATATTAAAGTCTCAGCGTAACATCCTCTGTTTGGCTTCTGTCCTCCAACGTGTGCATTCAGGATTTAATAAATTATCTTGGAATTCAATCTCATTTACAGAGGATGATTAATCCTTTGCTGTCCTTGCAGTATGGTGAGTAGAGCTGACTTGAATGAACCCTACGCGGAGCTTGCCAGGCCCGGTGGCTGGAATGGTAGTACCCTAAAAATCATAATCGACAAGAACACCTAGAGGCTGATACCGATGTTTCGTGTTAGATTCCGAATCTTCGATCTCTTACAAATTTGTCAATTTGCAGATCCTGACATGCTTGAAATTGGGAACGGAGGAATGACAATGAACGAGTACGTAGTTCACTTCAGTATATGGGCTATATCCAAGGTATCGCGGGTAGTTGTAGTTACCGAATGACTGGTATATATAACACTGGGTCATCTTTTGATTAGTTAGAATGCAATGTAGGCACCTCTTCTTCTTGGTTGCGATATCCGCAATATGACCAAGGATACTATGGAAATAATTTCCAACAAGGAGGTCATTGCAGTGAACCAAGGTCAAAACATTTCCCTGCCCTCAGTTGATGGAATAGTCTAAAACTAATGACTTCTTATTATTGAATTCAATTTGGTCATCTCTGGTAGATCCGCTCGGAATCCAAGCCAAGAAGGTTCGGAGTGAAGGTGACCAAGAGGTATAATTTGCAGTACACAGACATGTTTTTCTGGAGTCTGTAGTATATGCGATTTTGCTTGTATAGAGCTCAGCATTTACTGAGAAAATGCTCCCAATCTCTTTCCTCAAGGTTTGGGCCGGGCCTCTCACTGGTTATCGGCACGCCGTGCTTCTGTTAAACCGAGGCACATATCGTTATACTGTGATAGCCCACTGGGACGACATTGGACTTCCGCTCAACACTGTTGTCGAAGCCAGAGATATCTGGGAGGTATCAATTTAGAAGATCTATGCTGTTTTATGTTGCTAACGTTGTTCTTTCTCCCTCTTTCATTTTTCCAATGAATTTCCTACTTGCGGTTATGACATTGGCCTTATCAAGCGCATACCTTCGATTTCTCTCCTTAACATGTGGCCGTCTTTCTCCTATTGCAGCACAAGACGTTGGAGAAAACATTTGTTCAGAACATCACGGCAACCATTGACGGTCACTCTTGCAAGATGTACATTCTGAAGCCGGTTTCCTAGAGCACTTCAAATTTCTGGTGGCCATGCCCTTTCCAGCTGAACTGATTCTTTTGGGATCTCTTTGGATTTTCTTTCTTTTGCAGTTTTGGTCATCTGATATCACTCTCTCAATTCTCTTAGATCAAACTAATAAGAGAGGGTAAGGTATTAGGGTCTACCCTGTGAATCGCTTGTGCCAGACTCTGGACAAAAACGAGCTTATTCACTTTAACCTGTTTGTGCGTTGCCAGGCTAAGATCTTTTCCATTTGGGTTCTGTCCTCGTTAAAACTTGGTGCCGACGTCGTTAAAGTCCACTTGATATTCGGGTAAAAATAATACGTCTCGGATTGTACTTCGGGACATTAGCATTAGGACTTGGGAAATTCGAGAACTCAATTTCTTCGATGGAAGAGGGTCGAACACTGCATTTGATTAAGAAGTGATCCATTGCATCCGAAACATCTGACTCATGTAAGAAGAGCAAAAGGCAAGAAGCATGGCTCTACAATTTTACCATATATTAAGCAGTTGAGCCCGAAATAGTACATGATCCTCTACCGGATTGCATACACTATAAGTAGCACTTTTATCTGTTAAACTTTCCAAAGGGCAAATATAAATTATATACCACACTGTTAAGAGCTCTCTTTCCATTAGTATCCTGAGTCCAAGTACTGTCTGCCTCTTCTCATCCTTTTATTGCCTAAGCAAACCTTGAAAGAGTAAAAGGCTATAATAACTGGTGGACTCGCTCGCTCGAGCTCGCACACCCCCTTGGTATGGCGGGATTTATCAGGATGTGGCAATGCACTTGGGCTCCCGAAGAAATAGAGTGCTCCTAGGCTTGTTGCAGCTCTTCAACAAAGGGTCCAAGTAATAAGCCTCATTCCCTTTCACAAGCACCGCTTCCCGTGGCTCATTCAGCATCGAGTTCTTATTCTTCTGTAACAGAAACTGCAGTTCTGGGCTACTGATGGCAGCGCTCGTGGGCTTGGAACGCCAAAAGTACTCGTACGCATTGAAGGAAGCCACCGCTGGCGCCGATTGGGGCGACAGCGATTGCGTCGATAGCATCCTAGCCATTGGAGCCCGCAAGGGGAGTGATTCCTCAAGTGGGAGTGCCTCATCTTCCTCCTCATCGTAGTTCGCCACTTTGTTAGGTGGACCGATGGGCTTGTTCATCAGGAGTGCAAGCTTATGGACATTTATCACTCCACTTGACATATTGGGTGTTTGGTCCATGACAAACTCCATCTCCCTAGCGCCACGACCGTTACCAACTCTTGCAAAGTCAAGTTCGTCTGCCTCCCCTTGCTTCTCCTTCTCTTCATCCTCCTCTTCACTTTCTTCCTCTTCTCCGTCGCTATTTCCATCGAAACTCTCAACATCTTCATCCGACTCCATCAATATGTTCTCAGTCTCTTCATCATCTACTTCCTCTCCATCATAGATTTCTTCACCAGAGGAAACACTGTTCACAAATGTAAGAATGAGTCTGCCATCTTCGCGTTGGGCTTGAAATTTTTTCTCGGACGAAATGGAGACAGCTTCGAGCACTAGCCGTCCATTGTCACGGCGAGAGTGCACCGAGAGGGACGCCCCATCTTGTCGAGACAGGGAAGGTAGAGGGGGAGGGAAAGATCGAGGTCGGATCTTCCTACTAGCGGTGTAACTGTACTTGACTACACCGAAGTCTTCCATGTCAAAACCCTGTGATGGCATCACCTCTTGTTGAAGTGGCTCGTGCTCTTCTGCCTTTCCATCTTCCATGTCTCCGACTTCTGATGGCGGGTACGAGGAGAACCCATCGGAGCCAGTCTCGGATCCAAGGCTCTCGGTGCAAATCTGGAGGCTCTGCTCGTTCAAAGAGCTCGTGGATCTCTTCACCAGAGGGTGAACATAAGGCGGGGGGAGGGACTTCGAATCCTCAGGCTTGTGAGACAGAATTAAGCCCCAAGTGCACTTCTCGCCTTCCTGTTTCTTCGCTTCCTGGATGGAGTTCCAAATGTCAAGCTGGCCTCTCCCTTCACCATCCTTCTGCGTATCGTCGTCTTCTTCTTTTGAGGAAGAAGATGAATCGGCGATCGAGGCCAGAAGCTCTGCAGAGGAGGCAATCTTCTTTATTGGAGAGAAACCATTTTGGGCAAGCCACTTCTTGGACGACATATCAGCAGAGAGCGTCCTGCGAAGGGAAGCATTCTTGGGTCTCTCGCAGTCTGACCCGAGAATAAAGACAATTCCCTGCTTCTCGGCAGCTCTGACCTCATCGTCGATTCTGAAGGCGGGAGGCAGAGGTATGCTCTTGCTAAGAGAAGGTGACATCTCTTGGATATAAGATAAGAGGAAGATTTATCTGCGCAAACAATGAATGAATGAATGAATGAGAAGAACAGTTCAACAACAATAACATCAAGAAGCCAATGGATAATAATCAATCATGCCATCACTGGTCAGTTAGGGATTGCTACTTTTATGTTCAAGTCCAAAATTTCATCCACAAAAGTTGGTTCAGCGCCGATCCAGGCCCGTGCAGATACATGAGAAGTGGGTGCAGTACAAGGGTAGACAGTTTGTGCACACTCAAACTGCTATACTATTTCCTTTTGCTAGAATATTCTTTATAACAACGAGAAAAACCACCCAAGGTAGGTAGAATCTCATGTCAATATCCCCATCGGCTCACGGACCGTGTAAGACGCAATTTCCAAGATATGAGGACAAACAAGTGCAGTTATCATTGTTTTACGTCTCGTATTATCCCCGTCTTTTCTGACCAAAGATAACCAAAGACATGACTCTGTGTTGGCCAAACAATGTTGCAAGCAAGAACAGAACAGAGGTTTTACCGAGCTCGACACGCACGACTCGGAAAATCTCGATTAACAAAACTTAAAAAATCGGTATAATTCGCGTACAATCTCCAGAAAAAGTTCAAAGAAAGATATGTTCAATCGCGTATGCGTTCCAAATTCATCAGAGATCCATCACAAAATAGACAGCAAACATCTCTGTGTTTTTTTCTCTGCACCAGCATGACGGGCAGCACTGCTAAATAAATTTGTTCATCTTTTTTTTAAACTTTTTATGGCAACTCAAATTGGGGAATGCTTGATTAGCCAAGTAAATTAATCAGAATGGTGGTGGGCCAGGAGGGACATTAAGACCGTCAACATGTCTAAATACAACCTCTCTTCAGTTCACTTAAAAATGATAACTTTATAATCTGATTCAATCAAAGAAAAGGAAATGAACAGAGGTGGCACTGGCGCCAAGTGAGGGGGACTCACCGGTTCCCGCGCAGACTCAGCGAGCGAGCTCGAACTCCTTGCCACGCAGAGACTCTTGGAAATCTCCCTCTTGCCCACCTTCTGAATTCAAGCGAACCCGGGTCAGCTCCAAACTTCTTCTTTAGCAGAAATTATACCAGAAACGGAAGATAAAAGAGCAATTAAAGCAGTGATGATGTACCTCTTGACCAACCCTTTCAGGTCACTCGAAGAAGCAGGTGGCTTCTCTCCCTGCTGAAGAAGATGAAGAAGAAGAAGAAGAGGAGGTGGCAACAACAGCAACCCACAGAGGCCTGCGAGATAGGCCACTGGGTGCTTGTTGCACGGCCCGCCGATCGGAGAACTGCTCAAAGATTTGATCTTTTCTTTAACGTTCTTCCCTCTGTGGCGATAAAGGGTGGAGTCTATAACTCGAGTGTTCGAGTGGTGGTGGGTTGGCAGTGATGAGGGGTATTTGTAGGTGCCAAAAAAGCCTTCGGAACCGGCTCCGGCGGGCCACCACCCCCCTTACGCCACCATAGAAGAAAAGAAAAAGAAAAGAATACCGCGTCCCCGTTACTATCGTTCACGCCACATGACAGGTCGATACATGATATCGCCCGTCTAATTCATATTGGGACGTGGTTCATACTCCTCGTCGATGGAAAAGCATAAGAGAGTCCGGGGGATGCCTCGCAAGGGGCAGCGCACCGTGATGCCAATGGGTATTTATAATTTGAGCTCGTATTTTATTGGTAATTTGAGCTTGAATCCATAAATAGCTATTGAGTATATATAATTCATTTTTCTTGTAATCGAAAGTTGTAACAGAAAAGTGGATAGTGCTAATTAGAGTGGGATTCCTTGCTAGATAGTTCAAGGGTGAATCAGGATAAACCTCGTGTCCTGATTTTTGTTTCTCGCCATTACTGTCTATTTCGTTGTGTTTGTACGCCTAATCCTAACTATTCAATCATATGTTTCGCCTCATTAATAAGATCACGTTAGACCATTTTACCACAGGCTTTTGATACCAACTTAGAGCAACGGGTGCACGACTGTTTACTTCAAAGTTTAAGCTGTTAGAATGCGACGACGAGTACGTTTTATATCTCAAACGAATGAGTGTCTTCTGTTCTATTTACTAAATGTTTGTAATTGATGTACCTAATTAGCAATTGTGTAGAACCACGGATACCCTCTATTCAGCTTGAATTTTCGGTTCATTTATTATTAATTCTCAAATTTAATACGATAAATATTTGTCCCTTCTAAGTCAACAGCTTTGCCAACCAAGGGGAATGTTTGGAAAATGAGAGAGTGAGAGGAATGGAAGTTTGAGTGGGAAGTTGAAAATATTTTGAAATTTTTGTAAAAGGAAGTGTAGGGATATATAACTTTTTTTTGGCAATCTTCAATTTTTTTTTTCTTTGCCTCTAATCATCCAAACAGAACATCATTAGAGTTTTGAGGAAATTAAAAGGAAGTTTAGTAGCTCATGGTATAATTTGGGTACTTTAGTAGCAAGTTGCATGCATGCGTGCATAAGAACCAAAAGGGCTCAAAAAAGGTAGGGAGGGATTGAGATTGAGCTTGAGTAGCTCATGGTATAATTTGGTTACTTTAGTAGCAAGTTACATGCATGCATAAGGAACAAAAGGGCTCCAAAAAGGCAGGGAGGGATTGAGATTGAGCTTTCAATGTGCAAGTGGTGATAATACAGATCGATTTTGACTCCCTCCCTAATCCCACGAAGATCTCGCATTAGTTCGTGCATGTGTCAAGGGGACAGAACGATTATTTTCTGTCACAATTCCTGCGAGGAATAACACTGACTCTGGCCACGTTCAACGATCAATCTCCTCGCCCTTGGTCCAAATTTTAGGACTCTTAAAGCATTTAAAAAGAGTACTATCTATGTGCTCCACTTGAGCATTTCTTGAAAACATTGAAACCCCAATTACTTTCCATTGATAATCATCTTAAACTAGATTAGAATGATAAAACCAAAGTCATTTTGACAATTTTTTTTTTTGGTCAGAAAATTTGACAAGTTAAATTATCATAAACAACTTATCAAAATGCATTTCCATAGTAGAAGTAAGTACGTGTGTGTGTATATATTGTGATAAGGAGGGGTAAATACAAATTGTTACTTCTACTAGTACTCACACATAAGCTACGGACCATATTTTTGAGAAAATATTTTCCAAGCAAGCAATTCTTTTATGTGGTGCCGCAAATTGGGGAATAATCTTTTCTTTTTTCGGTGGGGGGAGAGAAAAGAAAAAAGCTACCAAATATTATAATAATAATTTCCAATTAAGCGAGACAAAATATTTGATATTGATTGATCGAAAATGGCTTAAGGTAGAAGCAAAGGAGCATCGCTTTCAGAGCTCCACCTGATTGGGCAGCCGTGAGACGATAATCACAGAGCCCCCAAAAAAATAATATTTATTTACCATCATTTAATTATTCTATATAGGAGGAATATATAATTTACGTAATTTATATATTTATATGTTTATTCTCATAATGATGCTGTAAAAGTTACCCAATTTGCACAACTTTAATTCGCCGACCAGGGCTATCCAAACATTATTAATTATTTAACTGCATGCGTTTCACAAAATGCGGCTTCGTCAGCTCACTATAAAAAGCGAGTTGACTCATGTCAATTATATACTAATCTCCTATTTAAATAATCTCTATGCTTTTCTTAAATAAAAAAAAATAAAGGGTCCAACACTAATTGCTATGCACATAGATAATAAATCGAAGCACATCGGAACCTTGACTAATTAATTCAATTTCGCACCATTAATTAAACGAGTCCCAATTAGATCGACAGTTGACGAGCTGAAAAATATAGTAATTAAAAAAAAAGCTTACAAGAATCCGAATTTTTCAGCTTTGGAAATTAATGATTAGTATAAACTCACTTTTATTAGCGAGGTGATAAATACAATTGCTTTAGTAAGCATTATGATTCTCCTTTGCACCTTATATTCAATTTCGATTTAATCAATCCACACTTTTCTATACGCGAGGACTCAACATCAATCTGATGGCTAATTAAAAGTTTATACTAACTTTTTTTTATTTTTATGAAGAGGAAGAGTCAAAGCCCGGGTGGGCGGTCCGAGAATATGAAATGTTCATACTCAACGGCGCGAGAAACCGATCGAATCTGTGTCATGTGCTTAAGGCTCATAAAAAACGTTCGTCCCTTGACCATTGGACCGTCCTTGTGGGGTTCGTGATGCTATCCAGCTTATGCTTGATCGCGACGAAATACGATATTAAATACGTGCAAAAAAGGGGTTATTCCTTCCAAATTAATTTAATTATATTCTGTCAATATGGGTTAGTATTTAATTAGGAAGCAAACCACAAGTGCGTGCTTAGGCAAGAATTTAAAGGTGAAGAAAAGTATGAGCACAAAACCCTTTTTTTGTTATTAAATTTTGATATTAATTTTTGCTTTCTGAAGTGACAAAGTGGGACGGTGTTGACCTGTGGAATTTAATTTAATTAATTAATTAAAAGTGGATTTAATTCGAGGAGTTTGATTGGTCATCGAAAAAGAATTTTAGTGATTAAAAAAATTAGGGAGGTAGCTTTGCTTATAATGAAATTAGGAATCTTGCACGCACCATGATTGTACTTGAAGCTGTGTCTCCCCCTTTACGTAGTTCTCAAACCCTAACCCTTGTTTTGTCGGAAGAGCGACAAAAGACGAAGATGTCATTATCATACCTAATCACTCGATGAGAGGTAAAGAGAAGCCGCCCTAATCCTTAGTATACCTAGGCTGCGCATGACAATAATTCTGGATTCAGAATCTGATTTTGGGCAAAAATGATTCTTTTTTATTCTGTGCCCGAAAACAATTTCTAAGCATTTGAAGGCGTTTGATAACTGTCCAAAATTTTTGTTCTTAGAATAGAAAAAGAACATAAATGCGTTTGGTAACTACACAAATTTTTTTTTATTAATAATTTTTTAAAATTTTTTCTCTTTTTTTTTTCTTTCTTTCCCCTTCCTTTCTTGGCCATGGCCAACCGCCAGCACCGGCAACCGGCCACAGGCCAGGGCCAGCAAGGGCATCGCGGCCCTCGCCGCCGCCCTCGCCCTCGCCGTTGCCACCTAGGTCCGTCGCCTGGGTGGCGACGGCAAAGCTGGCCTCGCCTTGGCTGGGCGAGGCTCGACTTCGCCGTCGCCAACCCTAGCGACGGTGAGGTAGGCCTCGCCTTGGTTGGGCGAGGCTGCGAGCCGCCCTCGCCGGCCATGGCCTGTGGCTGGTGGCTGGCGGCCGGTGGCCGGCGGGTGGCGGGGCCGAAAAACAACAACAACTAAGGCTCCGTTCGTTTGGCGGAAAATATTCTCCTTTTGGAAAATATTTTTCCGGAAGTCATTTTCCTGGAAAATGTTTTCCCGGAACATAATTTTCCGGTGTTTGACGACCAATATGAAAAAGTTTCGGAAAATATTTTTCGCCAGCGACCGGCGGCGGAGGGCGACCGGCGGGCGGCCGGCGACCGGGCGGCGGCGGGCGGGCAGCCGACGACAGACAGACAGTGACCGGCGATCAACTTCCTCTCCCGCGGAAAACATTTTCCCTCCCATGGGCAATTTTGCCTTCAATTTGGGGGAAAATGATTTCCTCTTTGTGAAAAGAGGAAATCATTTTCCTCAAAACAATGAAGGATTTGGGGGTGGGGAAGGAAAATGTTTTCCCACGGAAAACATTTTCCGCCCCCGAACACCGGAAAACACGGAAAATGTTTTCCGGAAAAATATTTTTCCGCAAACGAACACAGCCTAAAAAAAAGAAAAAAAACCAAGAAGAATCGGTTCTGTAAAAATTATTCCAGAATCAAGAAACTACTTTTTTTTTATTCTGTTCCAAAACTGATTCTGGGCACAATTTTAATTGTGCCCGGGCACAAAAAATTTAACAAACGGATTTCTGTTTCTAAACTGATTCTGGAAACAAAAGAGCAGAATCAATCACTATTTGGCAAGTTACCAAACAGGCCCCTACTCGACAACCTTTTTGAAAAATAATAGCAGAGAAAGGACTAAGTGGAACTTATATGTGGAGAGAATATTGTAAATTTGTAATTGTAACCAAAGCAATAAGTGGTATTTCTTGATTTTCTTGAAGGGTATTTATTTTGCGGATAATATGTACAAGCGTTTGATTTTGTTTACGATCCGTGATGCCAAAAAGTGTAAAAAAAATCGTTTCGATTTTTGAATGGGCAGCGAAAAAGTATATTTTTCGAAATCATCTCGCTGTGATTGCCATTTGCGAACGTTAATTATCTATGACATTGGGATGAATTTTTTGCATTTGGTTAGTTCACTCACTTTCCCCCTCATAAGTTCATGAGACTTGTCCTCTCAAAATGGTTTTGTTTGTAAATGAGATGCATATTTTGCAGAATA